CTGTTTAAATGTAAGAAATTAACTGCAAAAATAAACTGCTGATACTTTATAAGATAAGCTACTGTATGTGAGGGACCTTTCGGTCAGCAAAATAATGGATTGTATGTGTACTGAATAACGTCAGCCCATGTGGCCCCTCAGAACTAGGGTAACCCACCCCTACCCTTCACCTTATAACCTACACAAGCACAGCAGCAGAAATCATCAAATTGTTTGTTTCAGCAGAAAAATGCTGTTTAACTATGAATTGATTATAAGCATTCAACTATGTCTAACTATTTGTCTTCTGAAACAAAGGCAATTGAGTGTATACATACTATTAATCTATCAAATACTTAAACCATGTTTTTCAGGCCATATATCATATTGATCGCAGTGAGTGTAATCGTAACCATTAGCTCTACTGTAGGACAAATTACTCTTGTGAATGTCATACTTTTATGAAATTGAGCAGTTGGGATTTGATTTGATGTGTCCGAAGTCAGTCTGTAGGGAATAGCGCTATTCTGGCATCCTTTTTTGTTGTTGAGCACAACTGTATACTTTGTGTGTTTGCCAGGCCGCAAAAGTAATAGCATCCCCTGGTAATTGTTTTACTGGGGCATTTATTGCCCTTCCTATAACCCTTGACGAGATCAGAATTCATTCCTCGTTTTGCCTGTAGGGCAAACTATTTAAGGCAACCACTTTATTGACGAGAGACTGAATCAAAAAGTAAAATGCGCCAACATTTTGATGAGCTTTGCACTTAACAACCTACCATTACTGTGACACTGTGTCAATCTATTCGGTAACTAACTGTGCCAGGGTTGTTTCCTTTTTCACAGAAGGCAAAAGTATGAAATGACAGCAGTGTGCATGTTGTGATTTTATGCTGCGTTGTGATTTCAAATCAGTTTGTCCATATTACAACAATGTCTTGGTTAGGACAACAACACTCGACCATTGCTTATCATTAATACTGTATGTCACACTACAAACTTGGCACGACAATTCACTAGAGCAGTGGTAAGGAAGCAGTCACTGTGACGCCTGCCAACTCATAGTCAAAGCTGACCCCTACATATTACATATCACATCCATTTAGTCAATAAAGGAACAAAGGGCATTTATTCATCCAGACACACTGGCTGCATGCTCTTTTCCTCCTTGATTAAGGGCCGCGTCACTCAGGCCCTACGTTAATTCCACTGTTGTCTGCCATTTCTCAAGCCAGGCACTTAGTCTCTTACTGCACAGCTCTAGAAAATAACAAAACATGCAATTATATATTCGTATAATTTGGGCATTCACTTCAGACAAACATTATCTTTGAATATCGTCAATACTGGCTACAGTAGTCACAAAGTGTTTCCCCTATATTCATTTAGCAGCGGTGGCCCACTGCTTTGTTTGTTGCCACCGCTGCAAAAAAGATGATGTAACTTTGTATATACAGTATATATATATTTCTGCCGAGACGCACTTTTAAATGGATAGTCGTTGGCTCAATGACTGGAAGTCTATGAGAACAGCTAGCATGTCATTGCGCTAACGCTAGTAGCAATGCACCCCCTTACCCTTGCTTTGTCTTTTGCGAGGACGCACAGACTTCTCCTTGCCACTCAGCAACAGGGTGTGTGTCAGTGTGGTAACAGGAATGGCTGACAACAGCAAGACATCTGACCATATGGTCAATAAGATTGTTATGCTAGAGGAGGAGGAGATTGTGTCTGCGAGATTGTCTGCGACATAGCTCACACAGGTTATTGGCCTGGATGGATATTGTCTCGAAGAACGAAGTAGATTGTCATTAATCAGCTTCAATATATACAGTGCATTCGGAAAGTATTCAGACCCCTTGACTTTTTCCACATTTTGTTACGTTACAGCCTTACTCTAAAATGGATCAAATTGTTTTTTCCCCTCATCAATCTACACACAATACGCTATAATGACAAAGCAAAAACAGGTTTTTAGAAATTTTTGCAAATGTATTCAAAATAAAAAACGGATAACATTTACATAAGTATTCAGACCCTTTACTCAGTACTTTGTAAAGCACCTTTGGCAGCGATTACAGCCTCGAGTCTTCTTGGGTATGATGCTACAAGCTTGGCACACCTGTATTTGTATACTCTCCTGAGTGGCGCAGTGGTCTAAGGCACTGCATCGCAGTGCTAACTGTGCCACTAGATCCTGGTTCGTATCCAGGCTCTGTCGCAGCCGGCCGCGACCGGGAGACTCATGGGCGGCGCACAATTGGCCCAGCGTCGTCCAGGGTAGGGGAGGGAATGGCCGGCAGGGATGTAGCTCAGTTGATAGAGCATGGCGTTTGCAATGCCAGGGTTGTGGGTTCGATTCCCACGGGGGGCCAGTATTAAAAAAATATGTATTCACTAACTGTAAGTCGCTCTGGATAAGAGCGTCTTCTAAATGACTAAAATGTAAATGTATTTGTGGAGTTTCTCCCATTCTTCTATGCAGATCCTCTCAAGCTCTGTCAGGTTGGATGGATGGGGTACGTCGCTGCACAGCTATTTTCAGGTCTCTCCAGAGATCGAGAGTTTGATCGGGTTCAAGATTGGGCTCTGGCTGGGCCACTCAAGGACATTCAGAGACTTGTCCCAAAGCCACTCCTGCGAGGTCCTGACCGCTTTCGAGCAGGTTTTCTTCAAGGATCTCTCTGTACTTTGCGCCGTTCATCTTTCCCTCGATCCTGACTAGTCTCCCAGTCCCTGCCACGGAAAAACATCCCCACAGCATGATGCTGCCACCACCATGCTTCACCGTAGGGATGGTGCCAGGTTTCCTCCAGACGTGAAGCTTGGCATTCAGGCCAAATAGTTCAATCTTGGTTTCATCAGAGCAGAGAATCTTGTTTCTCATGGTCTGAGAGTTCTCCAAGAGGTCTGTCGTGTGCCACTCTACCATAAAGGCCTGATTGGTGGAGTGCTGCTGAGTTGGTTGTCCTTCTGGAAGGTTCTCCCGTCTCCACAGAGGAACTCTGGAGCTCTGTCAGAGTGACCATCGGGTCCTTAGTCACCTCCCTGACCAAGGCCCTTCTCCCCCGATTGCTCAGTTTGGCCAGGCGGCCAGCTCCAGGAAGAGTATTGGTGGTTTGAAACTTCTTCCATTTAAGAATGGTGGAGGCCACTGTGTTCTTGGGGACCTTCAATGCTGCAGCCATTTTTTGGTACCCTTCCTCAGATCTCTGCCTCGACACAATCCTGTCTCGGGGCTCTACGAACAATGCCTTTGACCTCATGGCTTGGTTTTTGCTCTGATATCAACTGTGGGACCTTATAAAGACAGGTGTGTGCCTTTCCAAATCATGTGCAATCAATTCAATTTACCACAGGTGGACTCCAATCAAGTTGTAGAAACATCTCAAGGATGATCAATGGAAACAGGATGCACCTTAGCTCAATTTCGAGTCTCATAGCAAGTGGTCTGAATACTTATGTAAATAAGGTATTTGTGTTTTTTATTTTTAATACATTTGCTAAAAAAAAACAAAAAAACGTTTTTTGCTTTGTCATAACGGTGTATTGTGTGTAGATTGAGATTTCTATTCCTTTTGTGGAAAAAGGGAAGGGGTCTGAATACTTTCCGAATTCACTGTATATTCTAGAATCTAACTATACACTGTGTGTTATCATTTTGACTTCCATCACACATACTCTGCGTAGTATATTTCTATCTACAACCTGTTAAATGTAGCCTCACACTGAACAAGTCCCAAGTAAAGTGAAGCCTCTTTCGCCACTCTAGATTTCCCATCTACAGGCTGTCAGTGTGTCTGACTCCTCACTGTGCGTTCCTCACAAACACGCAACACAGTCTATCACCGCTGTTATTCTTTATACCTGACATCAAAGCTGTCTTGGAATTACAAGTGTTGGAAGTGAGTGACGAACGACATCATTTGAGAGCTTGTCTCATGCCCACACTCGCCTTAAAGCCTTGGACTACATTTTTCAGCACTGACTCTGGCAAGAGGGTAGAAACAACTTTAGCGCTTGTAAGAGAGGACTCTTAAACGTGTTATTTAAAGACTTTCATGTTGAGTGCAGGGCACCATTAGAACACTACGTAGATAATGTTTGTAGAGTTTTTTTTTTATTACACGCTATAGCGATCATAAAGATTTAGCATTTGCATCCCCTTGAGGTGGTAGAAATTGTGTTGACACACGCTGCTGTTGCGAAAGTGGGTTACGTGGAACATTATCCATTCGGCAGTCATGTATAATATAGCTCACAGTGGCAAGTACAACATGGACCCCTGGGCGTTTGTGAAGCGATACGCTTGACAGTGTGTGTAATAAGTTTAGAGATGATGATTGAAGTCCAACCTGAGGTCATGTGCTCCAGATTGTATTAAAAGCCCTGCTTACAGTGATGACTTAGTGCCACAATACTACAGTATATTAATAAGTCATGTAACATACTGACTGGTTTCCATGGAGCAGGCGTTGCAGGCGCTGCTGCCAGCAATTGACAATGTACAAACAGAATACAGACAAGTCAATACACATATTATACAATCTAAATACAGTAAACATAAAACATAACTCTGGAGGTGATTTACAGTGAGGATATACAATAGTGCCATAGTGAAGTGAATAGATTCTTCGATGTACTAGTGTAGTAATAACAAAGTTACTGCATTGCAAATTAGTCTTTTACATTCGAAAGGCAAATCGAAAGTAATTTTTAAATACTTCACTGAATTATCGTGAACCCAAGCTGCTTAGACAAGGTCTTATAGGCTGCATCTGCACACAAATACATTGACATGAGATGCATGCACTTTGATAATTTGGGCCCAGATTTGAGATGCTTAATTTCACTTTGAGGAATATATGTGCTGACTCTGAATGTTTACACAGGGCACGTAAATGCACTCCTGTCCAGTGTTGTTGTCTTGAGAACCGTTTGTGACAGTAACTCATCTCCACTGCTTGCAATCCCCATTCCCTTTCAGTCTCCCAGCATGCACAGCAGCCGTCGGTTGTGATGGTAACCGTGACACTCACTATGCTGTATCTCCTAGGTTACATCTACTCTCAGAGCGGCCACAGGCGCGGCGTCAAAGCTCGGCTAATGAAGCTCTTACCGTGCTCTGCCGCCAAAAAGTCGTCTGCCAGTAGCCAAAGCAAGTGTCTTTCTCTCTCTCAGAACATTTTTCTCTCACTCATTTCTTTCTTTCCCCCCTTTACCTCTCTTTCCCCCTAACTGTTATCCTACCTCCCACCCTTTATTCTGTGTTACTGTAGTACAGTAATAATATAATAATATGCTATTTAGCAGACGCTTTTATCCAAAGTGACTTACAGTCATGTGTGCATACATTTTTACGTATGGGTGGTCCCGGGGATCGAACCCACTACCCTGGCGTTACAAGCGCCATGCTCTACCAATTGAGCTACAGAGGACCATACAGTCAGTGAGGTTTTTGAAAGGAACATCAGGCCAGCAGTCACTGCTTCTCCAGTCTGTTCTCTGGTGTCCTCATCTTATGTGGCTGGCCACTGGCCAGAGATGCCGCCAAGGAAACATTTTTAGAGGCCTAATCCTTACTTCAGATTCTACAAAGAATGTGGGACCTAATACCAAAGTCTAATCCCTCCCTTTTCAAATCAATTTCAAACTTCATAGAGTGAGCTCCTTAATGTCATGAGAAAAACGGTGCATGGGAAAAGACATGCAAATGCCAATATGGAAGATGTCAATGAACTGGGTTAGACACTGAAGCCAAGGTGTTAAACAAAGTTTGAAGTCTGATACAACCCACCTGTTAATTGTCCTTTGTCTATTAAATAACACAAACATTTATTGAAACCCTATGACTATATCATAACTGAGTCAGTAGAAATGGGTGAATCATTAATCTGGGTTGTCACTGTCTGTGTGTGCCTGTGTGTGTCCCATTCATCATCCAACAAGCCCACTGTAGAGGCAGACTCCATAGCTCTGTTGAAGAATCACCCCTCACGCAGTTTCTTACCTCACTGTGTGGTGCCAACATGCGCAGTGGACTGGACAGACTCACCATGGCCTTTGTGTGTGATTAATTGACTTGACAGTGTGCGTGATGGCAGGATTTGATTATAGCAATCTGAGGACGACGAGCACTTTCATTAGCATAATAAACCAGATCACAAGATATTTTATTCTTTTGGAGTCGGAGCATAGGGTTTTCATCAGCATCAAAGGGAAACTCTGAAATTGGCAGCATATGAGCTATGAAAGTGTATTCCCTATCCTATTGATGCTTGTAGACACACACACCAGCTCTTCAGCAGGTTAATCCAATACTGAGAAGAGATGTGGCATTTTGGCCACCGTCCACAAGACTCCTCTCAGGGCTAATGAGGGGTGGCGAGACGCTGGCATACCTCAGGTGAGTGTGTGCAAGAGAGAATATTCAAGTGCTCGGCTCTGAGGACAACCGCTGGCGTTGACAGACCCGAGACGGCGGCTGCCATCATTACAGACCCATTAAAGCGCCTCTCCGAGTTCAGCGGCCCTTATCTCGAGGAGGCTCCCTGCCAGAGGGCCGTTGTTCCTGGGTCTAGATAACGCTAATTACCTCTGCTGTGATATTTCATGAGGAGAGATCAGGACACCGCCAAGCGTTTGGGGGTTTTGCTCAGTTTTGTCATGTAACATTTTGTAATGAAGGGACCAGGTGAGGATGTGAAAAGATCTTCCATGATTGGTTGGCTTTGGAAGTGTGCTAGAAGTTTACCCTTAAGCCTAATGTCAAATAACATCAAATTGTAGGGATCATCAAGTGGGTATGGCTAAACTGACAATGACTGTACGCTACTAGCCTATATTCTACCCCTCCTGAGACTGATACTGTGTGTCTGAGATTCACCTGGCTGTAGGCCTTTAAGACATTACAGTGGGGTATGCGTGAATGGCATTTCAATGGGATTACATTAGCAACATGGGTGATAATTTTTATCACATTAGATAACAGCGACAGGTGAGCTGGTTCCAATACTTATTCATCTCAGCCCTCTGGGCTAGTGTATCCTTATTTCCTCCTCCTATAACAATCAAACATTTCGAAGTGGCTATAGACTCCTTTGGCTCACTATGGTGGAGAGTTGATTCTGAGCAGTCATTTTATAGACCCTGTATTTAAGCTGCTATGCTATGGTAATGGTATGCTATCCCCAGTATTATATAACAATAGCCTGTGAAGTAACTGGTTTCACAATAGCTGCAGTGCTTACTTAAGGATCCAGAATTAGCATGTTTAGAAGAAGTGTTTGACATTCATATCATTGACTCAATTAACCTTGCTGCTATAATACAAACTAGTGTATGGTAGAGCACTATTGTTTCTTATAAATCCTTTGTTTAACGTGGCTAGTGTAAATTACACACTGCTAATCTCTGTTCTTAGATGACGAGTCAGTGCTGTGAGGTCTTTGTGGGCTCCAGAACGCCCTGTGGCTCTGCACAACTGACTGAAATAGGACAGGACACTCTTTTCTTTTATGGGTGAAATGCAGCCAATTGTGTTAAGCTTCTGAATGAGTCTGACTCCTCCTTCCTCCTCTCCAGACAGCGTGGAGGATGAGTTGGAGCTGTCGGCCGTCCGCCATCGCCCCGAGGGCCTGGAGCAACTGGAGGCCCTGACCCGCTTTAACCGCAAGGAGCTGCAGATCCTCTACCGAGGCTTCAAGAACGTAAGTGGCCCAGTTTCACCACACATCCAAAGCCATTGAGAGAACATGCACTGTCTTTTTTGTCTCTCCGCTAAGGTCCTCCTCCAAATATACACTGCCAGTCAAAAGTTTGGACACACCTACTCATTCAAGGGTTTTTCTTAATTTTTACATTTTTTTACATTGTAGAATAATAGGGAAGACATCAAAACTATGAAATAACACATATGGAATCATGTAGTAAACAAAAAAGTGTTAAACAAAACAAAATATATTTTATATTTGAGATTCTTCAAATAGCCACACTTTGCCTTGATGCACACTCTTGGCATTCTCTCAACCAGCTTCACCTGGAATGCTTTTCCAACAGTCTTGAAGGAGTTCCCGCATATGCTGAGCACTTGTTGGCTGCTTTTCCTACACTCTGTGGTCCGACTCATCCCAAACCATCTCAATTGGGTTGAGGTCGGGGGATTGTGGAGGCCAGGTCATCTGATGCAGCACTCACTCTCCTTCACATCGCCTGGAGGTGTGTTGGGTCATTGTCCTGTTGAAAAACAAATGATAGTCCCACTAAGCCCAAACCAGATGGGATGGCATATCACTGTAGAATGATGTGGCAGCCATGCTGGTTAAGTGTGCCTTGAATTCTAAATAAATCACAGACAGTGTCACCAGAAAAGCACCCCCATACCATAACACCACCACCTCCATGCTTTACGGTGGGAAATACACATGCAGAGATCATCCATTCTCACACACCGCGTCTCACAAAGACACAGTGGTTGGAACCAAAAATCTCCAATTTGGACTCCAGCCCAAAGGACACATTTCCACATGTCTAATGTCCATTGCTCGTGTTTCTTGGCCCAAGCAGGTCTCTAATTCTTATTGGTGTCCTTTAGTAGTGGTTTCTTTGCAGCAATTCGACCATGAAGGCCTGATTCACACAGTCCCCTCTGAACAGTTGATGTTGAGATGTGTCTGTTACTTGAACTCTGTGAAGCATTTATTTGGGGTGAATTTGTGAGGCTGGTAACTCTAATGAACTTATCCTCTGCAGCAGAGGTAACTCTGGGTCTTCCATTCCTGTGGCGGGCCTCATGAGAGCCAGTTTCATCATAGCACTTGATGGTTTTTGTGACTGCACTTGAAGAAACTTTCAAAGCTCTTGAAATGATCCGCATTGACTGACCTTCAAGTAATGATGGACTGTCGTTTCTCTTTGCTTATTTGAGCTGTTCTTGCCATAATATGGACTTGGTCTTTTACCAAATAGGGCTATCTTCGGTATACCCCCACCTACCTTGTCACAACACAACTGATTGGCTCAAACGCATTAAGAAGGGAAGAAATTCCACAAATTAACTTTTAAGAAGGCACACCTGTTAATTGAGATGCATTCCAGGTGACTACCTCATGAAGCTGGTTGAGAGAATGCCAAGAGTGTGCAAAGCTGTCATCAAGGCAAAGGGTGGCTATTTGAAGAATCTCAAATACATTTTGATTTGTTTAACACTTTTTTGGTTACATGATTCCATATGTGTTATTTCATAGTTTTGATGTCTTCACTATTATTCTACAATGTAAAAAAAAAAAGTTAAAAAAAAGAAAAACCCTTGAATGAGTAGGTGTGTCCAAACTTTTGACTGGTACTGTACATCCAGTCGAATTCGTGTCTCCATTCTTAGACAGCTTTCTTTTTTTTTCTACTATGGCCAGATGTGTTGATGTTTAGTCTACTTGCTACACTTGTTTTTACTTTCAAAAGAAAACCTGATCTATTGAACTTCATTCCGACTGCTTTATTGAGCTCTTGTTGGTGCAGGGGGAAACTTATTTTCAATTGTCCCCTGACCTTGGGTTCATGGCATTTCAACTCTGCCTAAGGAATTGTAGGGGGCATTGAAAGTATTCAATAGGTTTAATGGCCAAATATAATTGTTTTATCACCTGCGTGTAGAAGTGTGACCTTCTGTCAAATGGCACAAGTGTAATCACAGTTGGAAGATTTCTCACTCGAGAATATTCTAGAGTACTCAAGGAACAATTAGGTCATACTTAGTCATAAGCTAGAATGGAATATATTCTAATGTACAATCGGGTCATACAAAGATCCTTAGGGAGGTACGTATACAATCGAAATCTTCACTTCTGTTGTGAACCGTAATGAGATGACCCAGAATGAATTTGACCCAAATTGGATGGTGACAAATGGAAGAAGGGTAGAAGGGGGAGCCAACGGCCTATGATACCTGCATCCCGAGTGGCCCTGGCCCCCATGGCCCCTAACCCGAGACCCTGGAAGGCACGGAGGTGAACTATACCCATTAGCCCTTCACCACAGGAGACTGGGAATAGGGGTTGATAAGTGGTCTAATGAGTGAGGCAGCTGTTAATTGGCACCCTGTAGTCTCCCTGACTCCTTGCCCCAATGGGATCTCCCATCAAAATATTTTTTACACCCCTTCCGCTTCCCTACCTCTAGAGCTTTTTGTTTTCTCTCCTCTTTAACCAAGACCAGGGTTTTAAAGGTAGGCTCAGCGATATGTCGTAGATGCAGAAAATAAATGGCAAAGTGCGTCAATTTCTGCAACAACTAAGGCTGTTGAAGTGCGAGGCTCACACTTCTCTGCTGTTTTGGTGCCGTGACTATCACTCTGTAACAGCGTGAAGGGAACCCATGCACATGTGCAGATACTGTGTGTGACTGTGTGAGAGTGAAGTCTTGCATCTCGCTCATTTCAATATCTGCGGTGCTGCTCATGTCAACGTCATTTCGCTGAGTCTACCTTTAAGGTGGCATTTGGTCTTGCATGTTTCTTTTTTTTCTTTTTTCTTTTTTTATTATTTTTTAGGGGGTAGATCAGCTTTAATATTGCAGATAGATTGTAACTTCCATCAATGTAATTGTCTGCATCACTTCCAATCCCCCATATGTTTTTTTCCCTCCAAATATATATATATATATATGCATATATATATATATATATATATATATATACATACATACATACATACATACATACATACATACATATATATATATACACACATACATATATATACACACATACATATACACACATACAGTGGGGAGAACAAGTATTTGATACTGCCGATTTTGCAGGTTTTCAAACTTACAAAGCATGTAGAGGTCTGTAATTTTTATCATAGGTACACTTCAACTGTGAGAGACGGAATCTAAAACAGAAATCCAGAAAATCACGTAGTATGATTTTTAAGTAATTAATTTGCATTTTATTGCATGACATAAGTATTTGATCATATACCAACCAGTAAGAATTCCGGCTCTCACAGACCTGTTAGTTTTTCTTTAAGAAGCCCTCCTGTTCTCCACTCATTACCTGTATTAACTGCACCTGTTTGAACTCGTTACCTGTATAAAAGACACCTGTCCACACACTCAATCAAACAGACTCCAACCTCTCCACAATGGCCAAGACCAGAGAGCTGTGTAAGGACATCAGGAATAAAATTGTAGACATGCACAAGGCTGGGTTGGGCTACAGGACAATAGGCAAGCAGCTTGGTGAGAAGGCAACAACTGTTGGCGCAATTATTAGAAAATGGAAGAAGTTCAAGATGACGGTCAATCACCCTCGGTCTGGGGCTCCATGCAAGATCTCACCTCGTGGGGCATCAATGACCATGAGGAAGGTGATGGATCAGCCCAGAACTACACGGCAGGACCTGGTCAATGACCTGAAGAGAGCTGGGACCACAGTCTCAAAGAAAACCATTAGTATCACACTACGCCGTCATGGATTAAAATCCTGCAGCACACGCAAGGTCCCCCTGCTCAAGCCAGCGCATGTCCAGGCCCGTCTGAAGTTTGCCAATGACCATCTGGATGATCCAGAGGAGGAATGGGAGAAGGTCATGTGGTCTGATGAGACAAAAATAGAGCTTTTTGGTCTAAACTCCACTCGCCGTGTTTGGAGGAAAAAGAAGGATGAGTACAACCCCAAGAACACCATCCCAACCGTGAAGCATGGAGGTGGAAACATCATTCTTTGGGGATGCTTTTCTGCAAAGGGGACAGGACGACTGCACCGTATTGAGGGGATGATGGATGGGGCCATGTATCGCGAGATCTTGGCCAACAACCTCCTTCCCTCAGTAAGAGCATTGAAGATGGGTCGTGGCTGGATCTTCCAGCATGACAACGACCCAAAACACACTAAGGAGTGGCTCTGTAAAAAGCATCTCAAGGTCCTGGAGTGGCCTAGCCAGTCTCCAGACCTGAACCCAATAGAAAATATTTGGAGGGAGCTGAAAGTCCGTATTGCCCAGCAACAGCCCCGAAACCTGAAGGATCTGGAGAAGGTCTGTATGGAGGAGTGGGCCAAAATCCCTGCTGCAGTGTGCGCAAACCTGGTCAAGACCTACAGGAAACGTATGATCTCTGTAATTGCAAACAAAGGTTTCTGTACCAAATATTAAGTTCTGCTTTTCTGATGTATCAAATACTTATGTCATGCAATCAAATGCAAATTAATTACTTAAAAATCATACAATGTGATTTTCTGGATTTTTGTTTTAGATTCCGTCTCTCACAGTTGAAGTGTACCTATGATAAAAATTACAGACCTCTACATGCTTTGTAAGTAGGAAAACCTGCAAAAACGGCAGTGTATCAAATACTTGTTCTCCCCACTGTACATACACACATAGTCCCATCCTTCAGCTCCATTCAACACCACCCATCTATCTCTTAACACCATCCATATTGGATTTCTATTTGCCATATATTTTTCAGCTGTACTGTGATGTTTTACAAAAGTTCTGAACCTTTCTATTCTCATTGTTCCTACAGATTGTAAATTGAAAATAAACATTTTTGCTAAAAGTATTATTATATTATTGATCGATTTGACTGACTTTTCAGATCACCCAGTAATGCTATCTGCAGGGTTAGCTCCAGATAAATATTGCAATCCTTTAGCCATTCCTGGACCTGTGTCCAAAAACAAGCTACAAATGGACAGTACCAAAACAAATGATCTAATGATCCTGTCTCTTAGCAGCAAAGTCTGCAGAGCTGGGAAGATTGTTCAATGATAGTGGCCTCTCTCTGCAGAAGCTAGACCCATCACTCCTCTAATGTCGGGCAGTTACTGTAGTTGGGTACCTTTCCAATAAGGACAATGTCACACTTGGAAAACTCACAGCCGTTTATTTTCTTCTGTCCATTGACAAGGCTATAACTCTTTAACTTCTTAACTGCATTAAATCAAGTTAAGGAGGAAATAGACGGCTTTGCAGTCTGAATGGATAATGTTTTATGTACGAATAGGTCCTCGGGGAATGTTTAGCCAGCTGCATATATTCCCTTTGGACGTTAAGATGAAACGACTCAATATCGCCATCAGCTGGCCTGTGGGCTAATCAAATACCTGATCAATGGTTCACACTAACCCAGTGACAAAGGCAGAATAAAGGCAACATTTAAAACTAGCCAGACAAATGTAGTCTGGCACAGTCTCCATTACGAGTATTTTGGCTCTGTGTCTTTGACGTCTCAGAATTGGGTGTGAATCAAATGGCTCCTGGGTGAGCGTCCACGGGTGGTACAATATCGTCTCCTGGTAATTGCAACCTAGATGTCCTCACGTCTGACCAACTCTTCGGCGCTGCTCAGGAATTCAGAGCCAGGGCTTCGGCATGGGGCACAAGATTGCCATCTCAGATTGTGACACTTTCAATTCCATCAGTGGAGATGCCACTGTTCAAACCTCTGTCAATAACCTTATTTTCCCCATACGTTTTCTTCCCAACCTTGCCGGGATGAGTCATTGGAAGGAATTTCACGTGCGGCTGGTTATTGCATTCCACAAATTACAGTTATGATTTTGTTCTCATGGATGAGTTCATTTCACAAGCTTATCAAATGAATACAGATACATTGAGTGACCTCGGACCCATTCAAACTGTGACTGGGAATGCTGCTGACTATGTACAGGTAACTGCCAAAATAAAGAAAACACCAACATAAAGTGTCTTAATAGGGCGTTGGGTCACCATGACCCGCCAGAACAGTTTAAATGCGCCTTGGAACTCTAGATGCGACCCCATTCTTCCACAAGAAATGTCATGCTCCAGATTCTCCCTACTAGGGCCAGGTGTGTGTTGATATTTAGTTGGTGTTCAATTGGGTTGAGATCTGGTGACTGAGACACACATGCACTCTTTAAACCCCCTGTGCTCCTTGGAGACCCTTCTTTCAAGGTCAGTGAGATCTCTTCTAGCCGTGGTAGCCAAAATAATGGGGAACTGGGCATATTTGCACTGTATAAATTAGAGGTAGGACGTTTTTTGGTTTGGAACCCAGCCATTCTTCATTACTTTCACATTTAGTCGCTATGTACTATTAGTGTTGACATCTGTAATCTCCCAACAGTCCATGGGGTTTCAAGGATAGCGTGAACAGACTGCATTTCCACTCTGCAAGACTCACAACCATACAGTATTTTGACTAGCAGACAATAAACGTGAAATAAGGGAAGCGGATATCTCAATGTACTGTAACCATTCTGAGTGTAATTACTCTATTGCCTCATGCAGCGTGAACAAGAAGTGGGGGGGGGGTTGACAAGAACACAAACGTTTTAATTAGCAGTAGCTTTGCGGAACAACAAAGGCTTCAAATAAATATTGTCGAACTTTGTGTCCGTACAGCAGACACCTTGATTTGTTTAGGTATGAAGGGAATAGGTTTGAAGTTGATTCAGCTCTCTAGTACTCTCTCTGTTGTACATCTCTCAAAGTGTGGGGTAACAAAATGATATAATGTGTGGGAAGGTTTGGTTTTGCATTTGATAGAAATATGGTTGTAATCACTGTGCTGTGTCCACAGTATCATGACTATGCAATACCCTAAACCCTCATTGAAATTGCACTTTAATTGAATGGCATTTCCAAATTACCATATATCTGAGGTACATTAGAATTACTGTAATATCCATGATTATGCATTTGTAAAATGTGCTGTATTTATTACAGTGACACCCTCAAAATGTGACCTAGAATTTCCACCACAGTACTTTCAAAGCCAGGAATAGATCAAGCTTACATAGACAGTATAATTGATGTTTACTTAGTACTCTCTATCAAAAGTAAGACAATCCAGAGAGGTCAGAGGTTAACCCCACAACACCCTTCACAGCTCCCTTACACTTCACTTTTAACCGAATCAGGTCACAAAACAGCCAAAATAAAAACCTGTGACAGACTTAGTGCAAATGTTGTTTCCTCGCCTGCTTTCCAGTTAAAGCGAGGGACTTCTTGACCTAATCTACTCCTCGCAGGATATTAAAATGGGTTTATTAAATAACAAAGAACAAGCAGCAAGGGACACAGTGTAGCGCACCTCTGAGAATCATCAGTCTGAAATAAAAGCGTCCCCATGAGATGTCCCCAGGAGAGAGATGAACTAGACCTCACCTCCTGAAATGTAATAGGGAAGTGCACGAGGTAATGTCCTCGTCCGTGGCAAAACGCTTCTCTTTATAGATTTGAGATCAAACTTAAAGATGGAAGAAGAGCCTAAAGTGAAGTTGGCTGTTTTTTGCAGGTTCTTGAGCCTAGCTTTTTGATGGAATCGATAGGAAACATTTTAGCTGTCTTTCAGTAGGCTTGCCCACGTGACCTGTCTTCGCTGCCCTTAACCAAACCCTCTTCTCTAAATGTATCTCTTAACAATTTTAGATGTACACTACCGTTCAAAATTTTGGGGTCACTTAGAAATGTCCTTGTTTTTGAAAGAAAAGCAATTTTTTTGTCCATTAAAATATCATCAAATTGATCAGAAATACAGTGTAGACATTGTTAATGTTGTGAATGGCTATTGTAGCTGGAAAGGGCAGATTTTGTAATGGAATATCTACATAGGCGTACAGAGGCCCACTATCAGCAACCATCAGTCCTGTGTTCCAATGGCACGTTGTGTTTGCTAATCCAGGTTTATCATTTTAAAAGGCTAATTGATCATTAGAAAACCCTTTTGCAATTATGTTAGCACAGCTGAAAACTGTTGTGCTGATTAAAGAAGCAATAAAACAGGCCTTCTTGAGACTAGTTGAGTATCTGGAGCATCAGCAATTGTGGGTTCGATTACAGGCTCAAAATGGCCAGAAACAAATAACTTTCTTCTGAAACTCATCAGTCTATTCTTGTTCTGAGAAATGAAAGCTAATCCATGCGAGAAATTGCCAAGAAACTGAAGATCTCGTACAAAGCTGTGTACTACTCCCTTCACAGAACAGCGCAAACTGGCTCTAACCAGAAAAGAAAGAGGAGTGGGAGGCCCCGGTGCACAACTGAGCAAGAGGACAAATACATTACAGTGTCTAGTTTGAGAAATAGACGCCTCACAGGTCCTCAACTGGCAGCTTCATTAAATAGTACCCGCAAAACACCAGTCTCAACATCAACAGTGAAGAGGCGACTCCGGGATGCTGACCTTCTAGGCAGAGTTGCAAAGAAAAAGCCAACTCAGACTGGCCAATAAAAATAAAAGATGGGCAAAATAACACAGACACTGGACAGAGGAAGATTGGAAAAAAGTGTTATGGACAGACAAATCGAAGTTTGAGGTGTTTGGATCACAACGAAGAACATTTGTGAGACGCAGACCAAATGAAAAGATGCTGGAGGAGTGCTTGATGCCATCTGTCAAGCATGGTGGAGGCAATGTGATGGTCTGGGGGTGCTTTGGTGGTGGTAAAGTGGGAGATTTGTACAGGGTAAACGGGATCTTGAAGAAGGAAGGCTATCACTCCATTTTGCAACGCCATGCCATACCCTGTGGACGGCGCTTGATTGGAGCCAATTTCCTCCTACAGAAGAAGCAGTCAGCTGGTATTCTGTCTATAATGGAGTGGCCAGCACAGTCACCGGATCTCAACCCTAATGAGCTGTTGTGGGATCAGCTTGACCGTATGGTACGTGAGAAGTGCCCATCAAGCCAATCCAACTTGTGGGAGGTGCTTCAGGAAGCATGGGGTGACATCTCTTCAGATTACCTCAACAAATTGACAACTAGAATGCCAAAGGTCTGCAAGGCTGTAATTGCTGCAAATGGAGGATTCTTTGAAGGACACAATTATTATTTCTATTAAAAATCATTATTTCTAACTTTGTCAATGACTACATTTCCTATGCATTTTGCTATATTTCCTATTCAAACTCATTTCATGTATGTTTTCATGGAAAACAAGGACATTTCTAAGTGACCCCAACCTTTTGAACGGTAGTGTATGTTCTCCATGAAAAGCAACACATGCAGCAAAGTGTGGTATGTTGTGCTATCTGAAGTAAATATGTTATTGTTCGAGTACTTAAGTTTGGGTCAATTGGCTTGATTCCAAACTGAAAACTTCCTCCATTCTCCCTGCCCTTGTTGGAATGACTGGATACATTAAAGCAATGTTATTGAATTGCCTATATGCTTTCACCTATATGGTCTCCTCAAATGTGCTAGTGCGAGTTACTGCACTGTATAAAGGGCAGAGGGAGGAAATTTTTTGGTTTGGAACCCAGCCATTCTTAATTTCCTTCACATTTAGTCACTATGTCCAATTAGTGTTGACATCTGTAATCTCCTAACAGTCCCTGGGGTTTTGAGGATAGTGTGAACAAACTGTATTTACACTCTGCAAGACACCGCAAGGCTCTCAACCATATTTTGACTAGCAGACAATAGAGGTGAACTAAGCGAAGCGGTTTAATGTCTCAACATACTGTAACCGTTCTGAGTGTAATTACTTGAAATGGCCTCATGCAGCGTGAACAAGGGGTGGGGGGGTGGAACAGAACACAAAACATTGTTTTAATTAGCAGAACAACAAAGGCTCCAAATAAATATTGTATACGTCGAACTTTGTCTGTACAGCAGAAACCTTTTTGTTTAGGTACAAAGGGAATAGGTTTGAAGTTGATTCAGCTCTCTAGTGCTCTTTCTCTTGAACATCTCTGTGTGTGGTAACAAAATAATTTAATGTGTGGGAAGGTTTGGTTTTGCATTTGATAGAAACATGTTTGTTTCAATCTATCACACCTTTTTTTGAGTATCCCATGGCCTATTAAGGGTGTCATAATACATGGGAACCATAATCAAAGATGTAAACATAAACTCATGTGCCACACAGCTGATCGAATGCCTGCTGGTGTTGTGAGTCGAGGCAGCCCTGCTTTTAAAAAGTCTGAGGGTGGCACCTACCAGCCTTGTTTATGTAGTTGGCCCTCACCCACAAACAGCAGCTGTGGCCCACACCCACAAACAGCAGCTGTGGCCCACACCCACAAACAGCAGCTGTGGCCCACACAATTACCACCCTTCGCTGTCTCCCTTAGATTTTATACAGTTTTGCATGCATGGGTGAGTTCTATAAATGTTGTAAGTAACCTGTTGTGGCCAATTTACATTTTGTTTGTGCCAACTTAGTTATGTTCACGTCAAGTTCATTCAGTTTGTGACATGTTCATTTAGTTTGTCAAGTTCATTTTGTTTCTATCCAATTTCTTCTTATTGTTTTGGGGTATTGCACCTCATGGCCACCATAGCAATGACCGGTGCAACCTCAGTATTCATAACCATAAGATAACACTTTGGAAAGCTACTACAACCAACACTTTATGTGGATTTCCAAAAAAATCAATTCTAAGAGGTTTAACGAGCAAGGTATTGTGTTTCATTTTAAAACAGCATAACATTTTGTTAAAGCAGAATATTTGTCTTAATCCAGGAGAGGATTGTCTCTGCTGCTGTTACTAAGAAGCTTGATCTTGCAAACTTAGCTAACATTAGCAAGTTAGCAAAACCCAGCTGGAGATAATTTATTTGGCACATCTTAGATAGTTAACTTAATAATTGGTAATGAATTTCATACAAGTGTAACTTGATCACCTCACTTGAATCACTCCTGCAGAGCAACTTATCTTACGAAGCTCCCATTTTGCTTGTTGTGCTTCTTTGTAAACAAACACACGTGACTGGCTCAAAACACTGTTTTGGGAAATGAGGGGTGGCGAGTACCGGTAAGCTTCATAATGAAAAGTTATCTAACGGGCGAAATGATGAACGCGATCTGCTTTATCTATTACCTTGTGCACAAGTTGACTGACTGCAGGTATTTATTTAAAAATTACAAATATTCAAAGCCCAAAAAATATCACTTACCAGAATGCTAACAAGTACTAAGGAATCCTCATAGAGAACACTAACTTAATGCTAACAAGCGCATTCCAAACAATTGGTACAGTTTCTGACCTAAACTATACAAGTAACTCAAAAACGCTACACAGTTTGTTGCACGCACAAAACAAATATTAGCCTGCAAGGCTCTTGTTCCAGGAGGGGATTCTGTGCTTTTACCAAGCGAATGATTGATTTTGGAAGAAGCTCAAATCAAATCAAATCCAATTCTATTGGTCACATACATGTGTTTAGCAGATGTTATTGCGGGTGTAGCGAAATGATTGAGCTTCTAGCTCCGACAGTGCAGTAATATCTAACAATTAATATCCAACAATTTCACAACATATACCCAATACACACAAATCTAAGTAAGGAATGAATTAAGAATATATACATATATGGACAAGCGATGGTAGAGCGGCATGGACTAAGATGCAGTAGAATAGTATAGAATACAGTATATACATATGAGATGAGTAATGCAGATATGTAAACATTATTAAAGTGGCTAGTGTTCCATTTTTTTTTTTTTTTAATATATATATACTCCCCTTTATTACTTTTCAACCCCGCCATCCTTTCCCTACTTGGGGTAAATTAGTGAACAACAATGCCCAGGCCTCTACTTCCAGCCTATACTTACTATCTACACCTTATGGACACAGTCAATATTACAATAATTATATTTTATTTGTTTTTGCTCCTGAACTACTTCTACTCTCAACCTCCGATCATTTTCATGATGTCCATCCGGTTTGCTTCTATATGCCATATCTTTCTAACTGTGCTCTTTCCCAAAAGCTCCCAACATACAACCTATATACTTATTATGGACACAGTATGCTTACATTATTAGTTATCGTGTTATTATTTGTTATTTGTTATTAGTCCCATCCTTCAACTCCATTCAATACCTCCCATCTATCTCTTAACACCATCCATATAGGATTTCTATTTGCCATATATATTTCAACCGTACTGTGATGTTTTACAAAAGTTCTGAACCTTTCTATTCTCATTGCTTCTACAGATTGTGAATTAAAAATAAACATTTTTGCTAAAAGTATTATTATATTATTGATCGATTGACTATGACTTTTCAGATCACCCAGTAATGCTATCTGCAAGGTTAGCTCCAGGTAAATATTGCAATCCTTTAGCCATTCCTGGACCTGTGTCCAAAAACAAGCTACAAATGGACAGAACCAAAACAAGTGATCTAATGATTCTGTCTCTTCACAGCAAAATCTGCAGAGCTGCGAAGATTGTATCCCCCATATAAATAACATTATATTGGTAGCAAGAATTTTATATAATAATTTAAATAGAAAGATTCTAATTTTTGAATCCGGTGTCGTTTTGCGTGTCAGTTCATAAACACTATGCCATGGGATCGGTACGTCAAAAATATCTTCCCAACTATTTTGCAATCTATATGGGACGGCTGTCAATCCTTTGGTCCTTAAGTGAAACTGATATACTTTTTTATTTATCACAGTTTTCCTTAACCAATTATGTTCTTTAATGCAAGGCCGACAGACAAGTTCCTTACTTTCTCCCCCTTCCACTTTCCTCTTCCACTTTTGCGGTAAGGCTGCAATTATTTGGTTGTAAGTTTTTGTTAGCTGCATGTGCGACATAACTCCACCAGTCCTACCGATGATATCCTTTACGAAGATTATACCTTTTTTAAACATTCTGTCAAAAAATAAAGGTTTTTTGTCAATGAGTATATATATTATATATTCAATTTCTTAAAGTGGCCAGTGATTTCTAGTCTATGTCTATAGGCAGCAGCCTCTAATGTGCTATTGATGGCTGTTTAACAGTCTGATGGCCATATCAGAATGACATTGTGTATGTACAGTGGGGAGAACAAGTATTTGATACACTGCCGATTTTGCAGGTTTTCCTACTTACAAAGCATGTAGAGGTCTGTAATTTTTATCGTAGGTACACTTCAACTGTGAGAGACGGAATCTAAAACAAAAATCCAGAAAATCACATTGTATGATTTTAAAGTAATTAATTTGCATTTGATTGCATGACATAAGTATTTGATACATCAGAAAAGCAGAACTTAATATTTGGTACAGAAACCTTTGTTTGCAATTACAGAGATCATACTGTAGGTTCATGCTCTACAACATTCGGAGAGTACGACCCTGCCTTACACAGGAAGCGGCACAGGTCCTAATCCAGGCACTTGTCATCTCCCGTCTGGATTACTGCAACTCGCTGTTGGCTGGGCTCCCTGCCTATGCCATTAAACCCCTACAACTCATCCAGAATGCCGCAGCCGTCTGGTGTTCAACCTTCCCAAGTTCTCTCACGTCACCCCGCTCCTCCGCACACTCCACTGGCTTCCAGTTGAAGCTCGCATCTGCTACAAGACCATGGTGCTTGCCTACGGAGCTGTGAGGGGAACGGCACCTCCGTACCTTCAGGCTCTGATCAGTCCCTACACCCAAACGAGGGCATTGCGTTAATCCACCTCTGGCCCGCTGGCTCTCCTACCTCTGTGGAAGCATAGTTCCCGCTCAGCCCAGTCAAAACTGTTCGCTGCTCTGGCACCCCAATGGTGGAACAAGCTCCCCCAGGACAGCGGAGTCACTCACCACCTTCCGGAGACATTTGAAACCCCACCTCTTTAAGGAATACCTGGGATAGGATAAAGTAATCCTTCTACCCCCCCCCCCCCCCCCCCCCCCCCCCCCAAAAAAAAATAATCCCACTGGCTATAAGGTGAATGCACCTATTTGTAAGTCACTCTGGATAAGAGCGTCTGCTAAATGACGTAAATGTAAATGTAAAATGTATACGTTTCCTGTAGGTCTTGACCAGGTTTGCACACACTGCAGCAGGGATTTTGGCCCACTCCTCCATACAGACCTTCTCCATATCCTTCAGGTTTCGGGGCTGTCGCTGGGCAATACGGACTTTCAACTCCCTCCAAAGATTTTCTATTGGGTTCAGGTCTGGAGACTGGCTAGGCCACTCCAGGACCTTGAGATGCTTCTTACGGAGCCACTCCTTAGTTGCCCTGGCTGTGTGTTTCGGGTCGTTGTCATGCTGGAAGACCCAGCCACGACCCATCTTCAATGCTCTTACTGAGGGAAGGAGGTTGTTGGCCAAGATCTCGCGATACATGGCCCCATCCATCCTCCCCTCAATATGGTGCAGTCGTCCTGTCCCCTTTGCAGAAAAGAATCCCCAAAGAATGATGTTTCCAACTCCATGCTTCACGGTTGGGATGGTGTTCTTGGGGTTGTACTTATCCTTCTTCTTCCTCCAAACACAGCGAGTGGAGTTTAGACCAAAAAGCTCTATTTGTGTCTCATCAGACCCATTTCCTTCTCCCATTCCTCCTCTGGATCATCCAGATGGTCATTGGAAAACTTCAGACGGGCCTGGACATGCGCTGGCTTGAGGCGTAGTGTGTTACTAATGGTTTTCTTTGAGACTGTGGTCCCAGCTCTCTTCAGGTCATTGACCAGGTCCTGCCGTGTAGTTCTGGGCTGATCCCTCACCTTCCTCATGGTCATTGATGCCCCACGAGGTGAGATCTTGCATGGAGCCCCAGACCAAGGGTGATTGACCGTCATCTTGAACTTCTTCCATTTTCTAATAATTGCGCCAACAGTTGTTGCCTTCTCACCAAGCTGCTTGCCTATTGTCCTGTAGCCCATCCCAGTCTTGTGCAGGTCTACAATTTTATCCCTGATGTCCTTACACAGCTCTCTGGTCTTGGCCATTGTGGAGAGGTTGGAGTCTGTTTGATTGAGTGTGTGGACAGGTGTCTTTTATACAGGTAACGAGTTCAAACAGGTGCAGTTAATACAGGTAAGTGGAGAACAGGAGGGCTTCTTAAAGAAAAACTAACAGGTCTGTGAGAGCCGGAATTCTTACTGGTTGGTAGGTGATGAAATACTTATGTCATGCAATAAAATGCAAATTAATTACTTAAAAATCATACAATGTGATTTTCTGGATTTTTGTTTTAGATTCCGTCTCTCACAGTTGAAGTGTACCTATGATAAAAATAACAGACCTCTACATGCTTTGTAAGTAGGAAAACCTGCAAAGTCGGCAGTGTATCAAATACTTGTTCTCCCCACTGTATGTGTAAATAAAAGCATGCACTGCAAGATGGATATTCTAGTTCTGTCTTGTTGTACAGAGACAAGATAAACGTTTAATTGTATGCTGCTGTTCATTGTTTACAGGCGAGAACAAAAGGTAACAATTATTCAAGTCAAGCATTGATCTCTTTTTAAAAAGGTATCCTTGGTGGATGTCTAAACAGAAATTGAGCAATGGTTCTTCTAGCTTGTAAGAAACAAAAGCTAGATGACCTTGACAATAGCTCCAGAGGCTTTTATGATAATATAATTGTATAGATTTCCATTGCGCAGACAAGGGCAGATGCATGTATATCTCTGGACTTGAAGAAGACGCCCTCTGCACATTTGATAAGAGGCCCCAGAAACTCTATTTTCTTCTCAAAAGGACTTCATCATTTTAAAAGCCCTTTTTATATCCCTATTTCCTTTTTGCGATTGTGGTCTGTACACACTTTTCTCCACACTCTCTCAAGGATGATAATGGCCAGCCTAATGCATCTGATATACTGTAGTTCTGTGCTATTAGGTGAAAACCGCTCCCCACTGAATGCCAGTGTATTTGCCTGAAACACATTTCCTAATGATTCCACTGTTTTATGGTTTAATTGTACCCATCTCACTGTTTTGACTGGCTAAGTGTTATCTGGTTGAAGCTCTTCACAGTTCCATGGGAAGGTTTTGGAAATAAATCCTGTTAGCCCTCTAGTTTTTTTATTTTATATATTTTTTCTATAATAAGGTACAGTAACAGCATCCCAGGTCCTTTGATCAGTAAATCAAGAAAACCACACTACAAGTATACTGAACATAAATATATAAACACAACGTGCAACAATTTCAATGATTTTACTAAGTTACAGTTCATATAAAGGAATCAGTCAATTTAAATAAATGTATTAGGCCTTAAACTATGGATTTCACATGACTGGGCAGGGGCACAGCCATGGGTGGGCCTGGGAGAGCATAGGCCCACCCACTGGGGAGCCAGGCCCAGCCAATCAGAATTAATTTTTATCCACAAAAGGGCTTTGTTACAGACAGAAATACTCCTCAGTTTCATTAGCTGTCCGGGTGGCTGGTCTCAGATGATCCCGCAGGTGAAGAAGCCGGATGTGGAAGTCCTGGCTGGCGTGGTTACACATGGTTTGCGGTTGTGAGGTCGGTTGGACTTTCTGCTAAATTCTCTAAAACAACATTGGAGGCGGCTTATGGTAGAGAAATGAACATTCAATTCTCTTGTAACAGCTCTGGTGGACATTCCTGCAGTCAGCATGCCAATTGCACGCTCCCTCAAAACTTGACATCTGTGGCATTGTGTTGTGTGACAAAACTGCACATTCTAGAGTGGACTTTCATTATCCCCAACACAAGGTGCACCTGTGTAATGATCATGCTGTTTAAGCATCTTCTTGATATGCCACACCTGTCAGGTGGATGGATTATCTTGGCAAAGAAGAAATGCTTACTAACAGGGATGTATACAAATTTGTGCACAAAATGTAAGAGAAATGAGCTTTGTGCGTATGGAACATTTCTGGGATCTTTTATTTCAGCTCATGAAACATGGGACCAACACTTTACATGTTGCGTTTATATTTTTGTTCAGTATAGATGATTCCCTTTGATGTGGATAATATATCCACTTCCCAAAGGCATTCATTGTGCTAAAAGAAAATATCACCCCAATGTTAGTTTTTTAAATAACCATTTACCTTCCCTTGATATGTAATCTAATATGAATTCGTTCAACCCCATGTTGCCTTAGCTAAGGGTCGATTCTTGTTTTGAAAATGTGGGGAGACAATTCCCTCATACCTTTCGGTTGAGAGATTTTCCCCAGTAGTAAAAATGCACTCCCAAACGTCAATATCTGGCCTGTGTGAATGCTGGCTGGCAACAAGCTGATATTGAAAACAAGGCTCACACATCTCGATGCAGAAGTTATGCCCTAACAACACTTTGCTATGGGTACTTTTCTTGTTGCCGTGATTTTATTTCTGCATCACTAAGACACGTGAGGCCCAACTTTTATCAACATGTCTGTAGCTCAGTTGGTAGAGCATGGCGTTTGCAACGCCAGGGTTGTGGGTTCAATTCCCACGGGTGGCCAGTATGAAAAATAAAAAAATAATGTATGCACTCACTAACTGTAAGTCGCTCTGGATAAGAGCATCTGCTAAATGACTAAAATTTAAATGTAATGTCTCTTTCGCCACTAGGGGCAATAAAGTCCTAGACCACTGTTACTCAACCCACAAGCAAGCATACAAGGCCCTCCCTTGGGCAAATCAGATCATGTCTCTATACTCCTGTTTCCAGGAAGTACCCGCAACTCACTCTGTACAGAAATGGTCCTCTGAATCGGAGGGTGTGTTGCAGGACTGCTTTGCTAGCGCTGACTGGAATATGTTTCTGAACTCTGCGGATAGCATCGATTAGCTAACCACCTCCGTCTCTGGCTTCATCAGGAAATGCACCGCCGACATTGTCCCCACAGTGAAGGTTCGCTGCCTCCGCAACCAAAAGCCCTGTATTAACACAGAGGTACGCGCTAAGCTAAAGAACAGAGTTACCGCGCACAGGGCTTTCGCAGCCAACCTAGAGGCTTCGGCTGAGGACACGACTGAGTACAATAAGTCCCGCTACGACTTCCACAGAGCCATCAAACAGGCAAAAGGACAACATAGGAACAAGGTGAAATCCTATTACACCGGCTCCGATGCATGTGGCAGGGGCTACAGACCATTACAGATTACAAAGGTAGACCTAGTCGTGATCTATCCAACTATGCCATCTCCCAGACGAACTCAATGCATTTTATGCACGCTTCGAAACAACACCGAGCCATGCACAAGGGCCCCACTGTCGGCCCAGAGGACTGGGTGATCTCGCTGTCCGAGGCCGACGTGAGTAAGGTTTTTAATCTGGTCAACACTGGCAAGGCCATGGAACCAGAAGGTATTCCAGGGCACGTTCTCAGAGCATGCACAGACCAGCTGCGCATGCTCTTCACGGTCATTTTCAACCTCTCCTTGTCCCAGTCTGTAAACCTCAGTCTCAAGCTGACCACCATCATTCCTGTTCCTAAGAACTGTAAAGCTACCTGCAACAATGACTACTTTCAAGTGCTTTGAAAGGCTGATCATGGAACAAATCACCTCGATCATCCCAGACACCCTAGACCCACTGCAATTTGCATACCACCCCAACAGATCTACAGGCGATGCAATCTCAATTGCATTCCCACTGCCCTCTCCCACCTGGATAAGAGCAATACCTATGTGAGAATGCTGTTCGACTACAGCTTAGTGTTCAACACCATAGTGCCCTCCAAGTTTGTCACCAAGCTCTGGACCCTAGGACTGAACACCACCATCCAAAACTGCTGCTAAAATGATCATTGATTAGATTTATTATGCCATTACGCTGCTGTCCATTGACTATTGATTTCCATGAACATTAGCATTTATCCTGCTACTGGTCACATACTCCTGTTTACATGTATATATTACCATTAGTATGCTACCATAAGTATTTATATATTCCTACTACCAGTCACGTTTCAGCCCTGTTTACATGTACAGTTGAAGTCGGAAGTTTATGTACACCTTAGCCAAATACATTTAAACTCAGTTTTTCACAATTCCTGACATGTAATCCTAGTAAACATTCCCTGTCTTAGGTCAGTTAGGATCACCACTGTATTTTAAGAATGTGTTCATGTTAGAATAATAGTAGAGAGAATGATTTATTTCAGCTTTTCTTTATTTCATCACATTCCCAGTGGGTCAGAAGTTTACATACACTCAATTAGTATTTGGTAGCATTGCCTTTAAATTGTTTAACTTGGGTCAAACGTTACGGGTAGCCTTCCACAAGCTTCCCACAATAAGTTGGGTGAATTTTGGCCCATTCCTCCTGACAGAGCTGGTGTAACGGAGTCAGGTTTGTAGGCCTCCTTGCTCGCACACGCTTTTTCAGTTCTGCCCACACATTTTCTATAGGATTGAGGTCAGGGCTTTATGATGGCCACTCCAATACCTTGACTTTGTTGTCCTTAAGCCATTTTGCAACAACTTTGGAAGTATGCTTGGAGTCATTGTCCATTTGGAAGACCCATTTGCGACTAAGCTTTACATTCCTGACTGATGTCTTGAGATATTGCTTCAATATATCCACATAATTTTCCTTCCTGATGATGCCATCTATTTTGTGAAGTGCACCAGCCCCTCCTGCAGCAAAGCACCCCCACAGCATGATGCTGCCACCCCCGTGCTTCACGGTTGGGATGGTGTTCTTCGGCTTGCAAGCATCCCCCTTTTTCCTCCAAACATAACAATGGTCATTATGGCCAAATAGTTCCATTATTGTTTCATCAGACCAGAGGACATTTCTCCAAAAAGTACGATCTTTGTCCCCATGTGCAGTTGCAAACTGTAGTCTGGCTTTTTTATGGCGGTTTTGGAGCAGTGGCTTCTTCCTTGATGAGCGGCCTTTCAGGTTATGTCGATATAGGACTCGTTTTACTGTGGATATAGATACTTTTGTACCTGTTTCCTCCAGCATCTTCACAAGAGCCTTTGCTGTTGTTCTGGGATTGATTTGCACTTTTCGCACTAAAGTACGTTCATCTCTAGGAAACAGAGCGCATCTCCTTCCTGAGCGGTATGACGGCTGCGTAGTCCCATTGTGTTTATACTTGCGTACTATTGTTTGTACAGATGAACGTGGTACCTTCAGGCGTTTGGAAATTGCTCCCAAGGATGAACCAGACAGAGGTCTTGGCTGATTTCTTTTGAATTTTCCATGATGTCAAGCAAAGAGGCACTGAGTTTGAAGGTAGGCCTTGAAATACATCCACAGGTACACCTCCAATTGACTCAAATTATGTCAATTAGCCTATCAGAAGCTTCTAAAGCCATGACATCATTTTCTGGAATTTTCCAAGCTGTTTAAAGGCACAGTCAACTTAGTGTATGTAAACTTCTGACCCACTGGAATTGTGATACAGTGAATTATAAGTGAAATAATCTGTCTGTAAACAATTGTTGGAAAATTACTTGTGTCATGCACAAGTAATTTTGTGGAGGGGTTTGTGGAGGGGTTGAAAAACAAGTTTTAATGACTCCAACCTAAGTCTATGTAAACTTCTGACTTCAACTGTATATCCTGCTAGCAGTCACTTTTTATATATAAACCCAACTCAACCACTCCAGTACCCCTGCACATTGAATAAGGTACTGGCACTGACCTGTATATACTTGCATTTTAATGTTTCTTTAACACTCATCGTTGTTTTTTAGTCTTACTTAAATGTTTTATTCTATTTTCTATTATCACTGCATTGTATTTCTATTATCACAAGGTAAGGTAAGAATTTCACTGTACTGTTTTACACCGGTTGTATCCTGTGCATGTGGCGAATAAACTTGAAAACTTGAAAGGCTACGGGGGTCTTTTTCAAAGCAGTAGAAAGGATGGCTTGTTTCACATCTTGCAGCATGGAGTTGGCCATGTCAGAGGTTTTCTGGAGGCAAATTGAGAATACCTTATGGGTCTGAAGCAAAGACCCTGTGATCAAATCAATTAGCCTTTTTCGAAAAACATGTTTTAATTGAGAAACCTTTAATGAATTATGGAATGATATTCCCTTTTCTTTGCAGGAGTGCCCTAGTGGTGTGGTCAATGAAGACACCTTCAAAGACATCTACTCCCAGTTCTTTCCACAGGGAGGTATGTTGACACATCTGGTGAGAATTGTTCTGGTTGACGAATGGCTCCTATGAACCATACTGCTTTAGGCTGAAATGTTTAACACTGGGTTGTGTTCAGTAAGCACAAAATGGCACAAAAATACTTTGAAACAGATAATTTAGTGCTTAAACTCATCCAACAAGTATGGTAGTTTTCTGTTTCAAAATGCTTTTTGTTTTATGCCTACTGAAAACAACCCTGGTCGTTGTTTCTCTGTAACTCATTAGGTTGATTGGTTATCTCGAGCAATGCCTCTGTTTAGGCATAGGTAGACCAAAATGGTAAAATAAAGGTTATGACAAAGAATGAAGGAATATCACATTACAGGCAAAGTGGAAATGAAGACAGTTTTAGGTTTTCTTTTCATGCTGACTTGAAAAAGGAAGTGTATAATGCTTAGTCAATTTTTATAATGGGTTTTTGCATTTGGACGGACAAAATGTGTACAGCCAAGGTGTGCTTTTGCTTTTGATTATCCAGTGGAATTGGGTCATTGGAATTGGTATAACTAGAAAGAGAGGGGTTTGGGTTCTTGGAAATAAGCGCCTGAGCACCTGAACGTTCTATGGCACATCGATATTCAGTTAATTCAGCTCGCAATGCCCAAAGGTGAAGTAATGTTCTTCTACTCCCAAGTTCTAATTCACCGATTTTATGTTTTTTAAAGCCCCTTATAAGGCACTATATCTCACCCAAAAAGAAATTAAGAAATAAAACAAACTACTGCTGTTTATCGAAGGACACCGGACAATGTGTCCCCCAAGTCACTTTTATATGATGTGTCCATAGCTAAATATATCTCAAAATATATGGCTCTAGATGTCAGTTGCATTACAGCGAGACCAAACTGTGTAAACGCCGGGGATATGGTTTGACCTGTCTACCTCAGCAAAACACACATCTTCATTTATTTCACAATGATACAGTACAGGAGCCTATAGTACATTAGAAACCTATAAAAAATTTAACTTTTCTATATAAACTGTTTGTACATGACAGTGCTGGATTGCAGCCAAACTCACACAGATACATTCTGCTCAACCAGTACATGAAGCAAAATTGTCTTCATACTGTAGTGTAGGTAATAGATCTACAGTATGTGTCTTATTGTCCACTGTACAATGATGGATTTCCTATTAAGAAGCAATGTAACATTGTAATGTCGTTATATCACTTGTTCTTTTGTGCTCCGTTTATTTGTTACACTGACTGGGGCAGCCTTTTCTGCTAGTCCCCCTGGGTTCCTTGTGTTTGATGGACTGTCATCTGCATTAGCCTACACAGCTCAACAAAAGAAACTCAGCACACTTTTTTTTCGGATCTTTCATCTTTACAGCAAACACACACATGCCGTCAGTCAGTCACAGACAGGCAGAGCTTTGAGTGCGCACGCAGGCACACACAGACGCTTAGTTCTGTTTATGCTGCTTGAAAATATTTGGGGATTACCTGAGAGTTGCAACCGAAACATGTGAAGACGTGACTTTGAAAGGGAGCGATAACACATCTTGCTTAAAGGCCTGCTACTGTGAAAACTATCAAATGAAAACAACTCTAATATCTCTTATTGTTACTCTGCTTTGGGAAACAAACGTATGATTGCTTTTATGTTGAACAAAGGAGCAAAAACATCACAGTTGAAAATGTCTAGTTGGAACCACTGTCGGCATGTATTGTCCGTGTAAATGAAGGTTGTGACTTGTCATCACAATGTTTGACTGAGGCTGTGTCACTCTCGTTTCAGACGCTTCGACGTATGCACATTTTCTGTTCAACGCATTTGACACAGATAAAGATGGATCTGTGAGTTTCGAGGTAAGCTAGTGTATCCTCCTTGACCGTTCATCACTGACTGACATCAGTCTCTAAAGTATAATGACGTTGATGAGATACTCAGTTGGTCTTCTCAATCCTCTCCCAGTTTATCTACCCCGTTGCCCTAGGAGCATTTGACAGAAGTTGATAAAACTTGAGCTTTCCATAGCTTGAGCTTTACCCACAAGACACAAGATAATGCTGGAACTATATATATGCATGGGAATCCCACCCAGCATACATATAATTAACAGTAATGAAGAGTATAGTCTTACTTATTACAACAGACATGTTGTCATTGCTCTACACCCTAGTTATCTGGTGTTAATAAACACTGGGACCTTCTGTCCCATAGTACTGAATAACCCTCACGTCTATTTCATAGGGATCCTAAAAAATCTCTACAAATCAAATAATATGTATTATTTAGCACCTCAAGGATATAATGTTCTCTTTGTTCATTTGTTGCTTTTTGGGAAGAATATTGTTTGGAAGAATCACACCGATGAATGCAGTATGTATTTTAGACCTGATACTTAGTTTGATTACCATATCTAAGTGATCTAAGTTCAATTCAAGTTCATTCTTTCTACATTAATATACATGTGTGTATGTTGGATGTACCAGTATCATATCAATCCATTCAGGTTTCATTGATGTTTGAGATATTCTTGGTACAATTTTAAATGCATCTTTATGAGCGAGATATTCATTGTGTAAGTGCAAAGGTCTAATGGGTTGTGTTTCTACTGCAGGACTTTGTAATGGGCCTCTCTATCTTGCTCCGAGGCTCAGTCCAGGAGAAGCTCAACTGGGCCTTTAATCTGTATGATATTAATAAGGATGGATGTATTACTAAAGAGGTACTTACCATTAATGTCACAACTTGCTGTCTCTATGATGTTGATATGGTAGATGACTGAACAGAGTGAATCATATATTGATTTCTTTAAATACGAATAAAAGGGATAACTATACTGACCTTCTAATAATTGTAACATGTATGAGTGATGACCTACTGTATGTAGATATAGAGCATGACGTCGTTACATACTGGACAACCAGTCTAATGATATGTAAAAAAGAACGATCCCCTACTTTATTGTCAATGTTTCTTGGTATGATACCCTGAAAGTGTGGTATTGCATAATGTACTTGTCAACGTATCCATTATCTTTACTCTCCGTTTTAAAGGAAATGCTTGATATCATGAAGGCCATCTATGACATGATGGGGAAATGCACATATCCCCTACTCAAAGACGATACGCCTCGGCAACACGTGGAGATATTTTTTCAGGTATGTTTTTTATTTTTTTATTCGATACATTGTTGCCAAAATGTGCATATTATATTCACCATCAGCAGCAATTATTGTATGTACCCATAGTCCAATGCTTGTCATATTTAGAAACAAATTACCCTAAAGTACAGTGACATTTGTTATGTGGAATGAAATGAACAATTTACCATCTTTTCAATTTGTTTCTGTCTATACTGTTACATTATACATTATCTTGCGTTGCCTTCCCAACATCTCTGCCCTTCCTGACCAACAGAAGATGGATAAAAATAAGGATGGAGTTGTAACCATAGACGAGTTTATTGACTGCTGCCAAAATGTGAGTTAATTCTGCCTTCTTTTCTGCAATTGCATCATATAATAATAAATAATAATAATATGCCATTTAGCAGACGCTTTTATCCAAAGCGACTTACAGTCATGCGTGCATACATTTTTGTGTATGGGTGGTCCTGGGGATCGAACCCACTACCTTGGCGTTACAAGCGCCGTGCTCTACCAGCTGAGCTACAGAGGACCACCCATACACAAAAATGTATGTTTTGCATAATGCAATATTTAGTACCTCTGGTATTCACATAAGAGTTGTCAGTGAAGTAGGCACATATCTCTAAAATGTATCTTTGTCCACCAGGATGAGAACATCATGAGATCGATGCAGCTCTTTGATAATGTCATTTAACTTGTGGCTGACCTGGAGAGCTCTGGACCGGACTATCAACAGACGCTATTCTATCAACTGTACGCTATTCAGGCAAACATATTGTCCATTGCAATGGACCACACAAAACATACAGTATAGATGTAATGGTATGAAACATTCTTGAATAACTTTGCAAAAAAGCAATGATCTTTCCAATCTTTCCTTTTCAATTTGAGTTTTGTGGTTTGATTGAGTAGATTGAACTCTTCAAACCTCCTGTGTACAAAGATGCCTCGATCTTAACAGCTGTGCTGCAGTCAGCTTTTATCTGCAGTACAGGAAACCCAGCTGTGTTAGATTTTGCCACTGCCTTTGAACAGATGGACACAATGAGTTTGAAAGGTGAGCGTTTGTGATGAATAGTGACAAACAAGCGTTGCTAAAGTAGGCCCCGAATTCTGAGGTTTTTCACCCACCATGGTCCATCCTTTGCTCTCCTGGGACCTGGATAAAATATAGACTTAACATTGTACCATTTTTAAAAAATATGTTTATACTATAGTTAAGAATCTGAGCAATGTTCAACTTTGTTCATGTTTACTTACCAACTAGAATGAGACAATGCACTCCACATTGAGTTTGATGATGAGTTGGGATGGTGAAAAGTATCGTTAGAAGCACACAGGTAGCTGTTACTTACCTTGAGTCTACGATTAGGAGGAACGACTATCTTGTCACAAGATTATGCTGCTTGTAAATGTATTTTATGTGACCCTAAATGTGTGTATTTCCCCGTGTAGAGATCATGTGTCCTGTCGACATGTTTCCATTCATGTTTCGAAGCACTATTTTGCAGTTTACACTAGTATGTTGGATTGTATTTATATAATATGGTAGTCAGTGTACAAAGGGATAGTCAGATGTTCAGTATTAAGCAGAAGCTAACTCTTGGGGTGAATTTAAGGTATTCTTGGGTATGTAATGTATATTTATCACTGTCTTATAAAGAGGGTCACTGGGATGAAGTTATACAAGCAAATCTAATCTCTGTCACCTTTTGGTTTTGTAAATATGTTGCCCTGTCCAGAAACAACCTCTAGCCCCAACTTTCTAGACAATTGCAGAGATCTGAGAGGATTGGACAGGTGTAAGCAATATGGCAATAATTCCACTCGGCCTGTCAGAAGGCAAGGTGAGCTATGATCTATTTTATTTTATATCTATCCAATCCTCTCAGGCCTTGTTCACACTGCAGGCCTTACTGCTCAAATCAGTTTTGTTTTTAAAATCTGTTTTGGAATAATATAATATGTCATTTAGCAGACGCTTTTATCCAAAGCGACTTACAGTCATGCGTGCATACATTATTTTTTTGGGTGTATAGGTGGTCCCGGGGATCGAACCCACTACCTTGGCGTTACAAGCGCCATGCTCTACCAGCTGAGCTACAGAGGACCGCAGTCATTTGCTAGTTGTCATAATAATGAAGGGTGTGTGCGCAGTGGTGTAGGCTGATTGGTGGTGGTGGTGGTGGTGGTGCTCGTGCTTCTCAGAAGTTATGTGGCAAGCTAAGGTGACAACAAGGATGTTTCCCAGTTGCTTTGAATGCTGAAAATCATAGTGTAAGAACACTTTTAAGGATAAGATGATCTAACTTTCAAAACAAGTGCTTTTTGGCTAGCCAAAGCAGTCAACTACCTAGCTAGGTAGCTGTTTATCTTTCACTAATGTGTTTAAACAAACTAGTTACCTACTAAATGTTCTTGTCAAACTGTTAACAGAGTAGCTAGCAAGCAACAAGATATGCCAAATAAGTCTAAAAACCACTTGAGGGCAAATCAGATTTGACCATTCAACCCAAGTCGCATGGCCAGGAATCAAACCACCTACAAGTGTATTAAGGGGCTAGAGGTTGTTTCTGGATAGAGGTTGTTTCTGGATGGGGCCTGTGTTTTCTTTCCTCTTGTTTGGGGCATGTGTCCAGTTTCTTTGCATAATGAGGACTGATTGGCCCCTGCTGTCTCTGATTAGAGCCCTGATTGGTCCCAAATGTGGGCAGGCACAGAGCATGCTGGGTAGCAGATGGGGATCCACCCCCACCCCCACCCTCCCCAATCTCACTCACTTACAGGAGGTTCCAAAAACCCTACTATTTCGTCCTCTTCTATCTGAAAGGTTGGTAAAAGCAATGTGGACACGAGCAAGGTAGTATCTGCAGTATTCTGTGCAATTCACTTCTCTTGCCTTAATTGGCAATTACTTATTTATCCATGTAAGTGCCCCCTTGGGAATGTGTTCTGATGTCCATATGATTAAGCATCATCTAGGACAATAACTTTGTGTACCTAACTTGATCTTATTTGACCAATGATTTTGTTCAGCTGGCTAAGTATCTCCTAAACACATGGGTTGAGGTAAGTAGGGCACAGCAACGCCTGCAATGGAAAACAAGTTCTTTTTGGAATAAGTTCAGGTATAGACTCTTCTCTCGTCTCAAACATGTAGGCTCACTTTTTGTGAACAGTCCCATCACAAGTCAAAATGTTGAATAAACTTCATTTGAACGTGCTTTACCTGTTGTCCACTGATTGTGTCCTTTATGTAGGAGGTAATCTGAGACAAAATATCCACAGAGTAGTGTTATTAACCCGACTTTCAGTACGCTGGTCTGTATCGGTTTGTATTTTCAATGCTGACGCAATTCGCATGCGACTTGCACAATATGTCAACAATGGCCGAGCTTAACCGAAGCACAGACCGAATGTTGTCCCAAGCAAATTTCACAAGCACTTCCAGCTGATTGCAGGGAACAGGCTTATGTCGACAACGTTCGGTTACATTTGGCTATTGTTTACATATTGTGCGTCACGTGAAATGCGTCAGGAGATGGAAAATACAAGCGACAGAACCTACTGGCGCCGCAAAAAGTTGGGTAAACATTTGATCTCCCCTACCTTCCAGCAAAAGGACCAACAGCACGGATATCCGGTAAAGTAACCTGGTTTGTAGAGACTATTGCATCTTTTTTACAGCGACTTCTTTCAGACTGATTATCCATGGCGTAACCATGGTAAGTCTGATGTTTAGGCAAGTTCAGGTAGTACCTGTTTCACTACATCTCAAAAAAAATTCTCCCTACTGAAAACAAGTTCCATAATGATAAAGAAGTGTTGCAAAACAGTGACTTCTGTCAATCTGTTATTCAACCTTACGTCCTAATGTATTTAAATAGATCATTATTGCATGAGGGTAATAATTGGGTTCTATGATTTCTGATTTTATGCACTCAAAATCTGATATTGGAAAATGTGAATGCATCGAAACGAAGCCTGTTAAAATGAATCAACTACTATTTCTCATGTTTTTTTTAAACACTTTTCTGTACTGAATGTTATTTTGCTTGTGCCTAACAAATTATACTTTTAACCTTAGCACTGTGACAGACACTTAGGGATGGATCGACATTTACAGAATGGGTACCTGGAGGAAAGTGGGGGAGAGTCATGCTTTTTCAATTTCAGTCAAGGGGAGGGTTTAGTATTTTTTTAAATCTAGTCCAGGGGAGGGTCATATAATTTGTAATTGATGAAACGTCTATATTTCTCAGTGTTTTAGAATTAGTTGCTTATTATGCTATATATCGATGTGTGCCTGATGCCACCCCTCATCTCTGATTCTCCGCTGGGCTCGCAATATCAAGTGCGCCTATAGGCTATTCTAATCTACGAAGTGCATGCTCGGAGAAGCACAGGGCAAAGTTATATTTCTAAGAGAGCTGCTGGGATGGTGTAAATAAAACTAGGCTGCATTACACACTGCAATGGATATTCCAACCCTGAGCCCCGGCCTGCTCTGCTCTTGCTGATAAAAAACTTTTTTGTGTGCTGGTTAATCAATTGCTGTGCTGTGTAGGCCTAAGGTGGCAGTTCAGGAGGAGAGTCAAAGGCTTCTTCCGAAACAATTTTTTGATTAGGCCTAGTCCAAAAAATGCATATATTGCACTCGGAGTAGCCTGTAGTCTGTTTGGTTCAGTTTGAGAAGGAAAGGGCGAAGATGAGCAACTCCAACCAACGCTTGGCATTGCACATGGTGATCTTAGGCTTGTGTGCGGCTGCTCGGCCATGGAAACCCATTTCATGAAGCTTCCGATTAAAAGTTATTGTGCTGACGTTGCTTCCAGGGGCAGTTTGGAACTCGGTAGTGAATGTTGCAACCGAGGACAAGCAATTTTTACGCGCTACGCGCTTCAGCACTTCCGTTCTGTGAGCTTTTGTGGCCTACCACTTCGCGGCTGAGCCGTTGTTGCACCTAGACGTTTCCACTTCACGGTAACAGCACTTACAGTTGACCGGGGCAGCTCTAGCAGGGCAGACATTTGATGAACTGACTTGTTGGAAAGGTGGCATCCTATGACGGTGCCACATTGAAAGTCGCTGAGCTCTTCAGTAAGGCCATTCTACTGCCAATGTTTGTCTATGGAGATTGCATGGTTGTGTGCTCGATTTTATACACCTGTCAGCAACGGGTGTGGCTGAAATAGCTGAATCCACTCATTTGAAGGGGTGTCCGCATACTTTTGTATATACACTGCCTTCGGAAAATATTCAGACCCCTTGACTTTTTCCACATTTTGATACGTTACAGCCTTATTCTAAAATGGATTCAATAAAACTATTTCTGTGGAAATACCCCATAATGACTAAGCGAAAACAGGTTTTTATAAATTTTTGCAAATGTATTTTTAAATAAAAAAACATACCTTATTTTTTATAAGTATTCAGACCCTTTGCTATGAGACTCGAAATTGAGCTCAGGTGCATCCTGTTTCCATTGATCATCCTTGATATGTTTCTACAGGTTGATTGGATTCCACCTGTGGTCAATTCAATTGATTGGACGTGATTTGGAAAGGCACACACCTGTCTATATAAGGTCCTACATGAGGTCGAAGGAATTGTCCGTAGAGCTCCGAGACAGGATTGTGTCGAGGCATAACATCTGGGGAAAGGTACCAACATTTCTTATCTGCATTGAAGGTCCCCAAGAACACAGTGGCCTCCATCATTCTTAAATGGAAGAAGATTGGAACCACCAAGACTCTTCCTAGAGCTGGCTGCCCGGCCAAACTGAGCAATCGAGGGAGAAGGGCCTTGGTCAGGGAGGTGACCAAGAACCAGATGGTCACTCTGACAGAGCTCCAGAGTTGGGAGAACCTTCCAGAAGGACAACCATCTCTGCAGCACTCCACCAATCAGGCCTTTATGGTAGAGTGGCCAGATGGAAGCCACTCCTCAGTAAAAGGCACATGACAGCCCGCTTGGAGTTTGCCAAAAAGCACCTAAAGGACACTCAGCCCATGAGAAACAAGATTTTCTGGTCTGATGAAACCAAGATTGAAGTCTTTGGCCTGAATGGCAAGCGTCACGTCTGGAGGAAACCTGGCACCCTCCCTACGGTGATGTATGGTGGTGGCAGCATCAGGCTGTGGGGATGTTTTTCAGCGGCAGGGACTGGGAGACTAGTCAGGATCGAGGGAAAGATGAACGGAGCAAAGTACAGAGAGATCCTTGATGAAAACCTGCTCCAGAGCACTCAGGACCTCAGACTGGGGTGACGGTTCACCTTCCAACAGGGCAACGACCCTAAGCACACAGCCAAGACAACGCAGGAGTGGCTTCGGGACAAGTCTCTGAATGTCCTTGAGTGGCCCAGCCAGAGCCCGGACTTGAACCGGAGCCCGGACTTCCATGAAAACATACATGAAATGAGTTTGAATAGGAAATATAGCAAAATGAATAGGACATTTAGTCATTGACAAGGTTAGAAATAATGATTTTTAATTGAAATAATAGTGTCCTTCAAACTTTGCTTTCGTCAAAGAATCCTCCATTTGCAGCAATTACAGCCTTGCAGACCTTTGGCATTCTAGTTGTCAATTTGTTGAGGTAATCTGAAGAGATGTCACCCCATGCTTCCTGAAGCACCTCCCACAAGTTGGATTGGCATGATGGGCACTTCTCACGTACCATACGGTCAAGCTGCACCCACAACAGCTCAATAGGGTTGAGATCCGGTGACTGTGCTGGCCACTCCATTATAGACAGAATACCAGCTGACTGCTTCTTCCCTAAATAGTTATTGCATAGTTTGGAGCTGTGCTTTGGGTCATTGTCCTGTTGTAGGAGGAAATTGGCTCCAATCAAGCGCCGTCCACAGGGTATGGCATGGCATTGCAAAATGGAGTGATAGCCTTCCTTCTTCAAGATCCATTTTACCCTGTACAAATCTCCCACTTTACCACCACCAAAGCACCCCCAGACCATCACATTGCCTCCACCATGCACCTCAAACTTCGATTTGTCTGTCCATAACACTTTTCTTCCAATCTTCCTCTGTCCAGTGTCTGTGTTTTTTTGCCCATCTTAATCTTTTATTTTTATTGGCCAGTCTGAGTTGGCTTTTTCTTTGCAACTCTGCCTAGAAGGTCAGCATCCCGGAGTCGCCTCTTCACTGTTGACGTTGAGACTGGTGTTTTGCGGGTACTATTTAATGAAGCTGCCAGTTGAGGACCTGTGAGGCGTCTGTTTCTCAAACTAGACACTGTAATGTATTTGTCCTCTTGCTCAGTTGTGCACCGGGGCCTCCCACTCCTCTTTCTATTCTGGTTAGAGACAGTTTGCGCTGTTCTATGAAGGGAGTAGTACACAGCATTGTACGAGATCTTCAGTTTCTTGGCAATTTCTCGCATGGAATAGCCTTCATTTCTCAGAACAAGAATTTACAGCTACAATAGCCATTTACAACATTAACAATGTCTACACTGTATTTCTGATCAATTTGATGTTATTTTAATGGACAAAAAAATTGATTTTCTTTCGAAAACAAGGACATTTCTAAGTGACCCCAAACTTTTGAACGGTAGTGTGTGATATATACTTTTTTTATTTTTCATAAATGTGCAACAATTTATGAACCTGTTTTTGCTTTGTCATTATGCGGTATTGCGTGTAGATTGATGAGGGAAAAAAACTATTTAATCAATTTTAGAATAAGTCTGTAACGTAACAATATGTGGAGAAAGTGAAGGGGTCTGAATTTTTTCCGAATGCACTGTAAATCCATATTAATGCCCATGATTTTGGAATGAGATGTTCGACAAGCAGGTTTACATACTTTTGGACATGTAGTGAGCTTGCTACTACTATAATAGATTTTATTAAAATCAATGTTTCTTGCCCATGATGTATTTATCAGTAATTGAATTCTGTCACTATCAATTGATTAAGCTATTTATTTTCTGTACAATAGATGTTTAAACCCAGACAGCTTTTAGGGAAACACTTGTGACCTTCTATCGATGGTTAAGCCACGGAAGAAAAGTAGCCAGCAGTTAAAGCTTCCATTTTTCACATAGGCTTACTCTGTCTGGGGTGGAACAGTAGGCCTAACTTTTGAAAGTATCATGCTCAGATTCAGAATTGTTATTTTATTAAACCTTTATTTAACTAGGCAAGTCAGTTAAGAACAAATTCTTATTTACAATGACGGCCTACACCGGCCAAACCCGGATGACGTGGGCCAATTATGCACCACCCTATGGGACTCCAAATCACGGCCGGTTGTGATACAGCCTGGAATCGAACCAGGGGGTCTGTAGTGACGCCTCAAGCACTGAGATGCAGTGCCTTAGACCGCTGTGCCACTCAATATGTCTCAGATATAATTATTTGCAAACAGGGATAGTTTCGTTGCAAACAATGCACACTGATTTGGTATTGGAAAAATATGATAAGATGAACACAGGCCAACTCTGTCAATTCTTAGCCTGTAATTTGTGTGGTATTAAAAAAAGATTCTGCTAATATGTAAAATGACGTAGAATTGCATGAAATGTTTATAAAAGGCTATTTTTCTTGGACCTGGAAATACAATGATAGATTCAGGCAATGCTTTTACTATAAAGGAGATATTTCAGCCCCTTCTCTTGTCCACAGTGGTCTGCAAACCCACAACCTGGCCCGCAGCCAAAATCCCTGCGTTGCCATGTAATGCTTACAGGACGAAGAATAGTTTCTAAGGCTCTGGTCTGCCCAAGAAGTGAGGGTAAACGGTAGACATGTTCTCTATCCACTTTGTTTTAATTATTATTTTGGGTATAGGGGAGGGTCACTTTTAGGTAACATTTATTTTGGTGAAGGGAGGGGCATGATTTTCTCCATATAACCCTTAGAGAAGCGACAAAATAATACAATAGCACCACCTTGTTGTACTCTGAGCCTATCACTTTATTCATATAAATAATGTACTTTGAAATATTGGCAATTCAGGTGATCATTCCCACAGGTACCACAGAGAATCAAGTGTTTGAAATGCATAAACTGCCAAGGTGAAAATTCTACACATTAAAAGAATGGGGGTCCATTTGCTGCTCCAATCTTGAGAAACCGTGTTGAGTTCAGAAACAAACCTGTTATGTAAAAAGTAGGTAATTGATTACTTGAATGCTATTTTGAAATATGTGGTGTGTATATATTATATATAAACTATTTATGTTCCTCTTTCACGCCCCAACAATCTAACTGCAATTAGCTAAATCTTGGAAACTGCTACCATTGATAGTGTAGGTTTAATTTGTGTAGAGGCCTAGCAGGAAGATTTAAAGGACTTCAAGAGTAGTGAGCTCACTGGGCATTTAATGTGCTCAACTAATTACACAGCGATTCAATTAACGGCTCCGAATGTTCACAGGCCCGTGTTCAGATATTTAATGTGTGTGTAGTTATGTTGTGCTGAAATGTTCTTTGGTTGACTAAATGTCAAAATATAGTTAAAGCTGAAGTATTCTACACCATACTACTTAAAATGTAATTCAACAGTCTGTTACTAAACTTCTACACCAGACTAAACCAACTCAAGATTGTTAGTGAGAATATCAGTGGAATTAAAAGTTTAAAAAACAAGCACAGTACTTTTCAAAAGCTTGATATAGTCAGGAATTTAATCAAAATGTACAAGGCACGCCACTCCAAGGCCCTTCACTCAAACACATCCACCTTTTCAGTGAAACAGTAACGCCACTGTTTTCCAGCTCTGCACCACAAGTGTTAGGTACACAAATTACCTGAGATGTTTTCAATCTATCTATATCACACTGGAATAGAATAATGGCCTCTAGTATTTGCTACCATAAAAACAATTTAATTAAGGCAGACGGTTAACTGGCACAGGAACAGTTTCCCCAAAACCTCCACATCGCATACAAACAACCAACCATTGGTTTGCAGAGCGCACATGTAAAACATGACACAATACTTGACTTTATATTAAAATGAATGACGGCAATAACTTGATAAAAACAAAACTGCATATAGTTATATAACGAATGAATTAAGTGTGGAATGTTTTTAATCGCATCTTTACGGATAAATAATTGATTTGGGTTATTTCTCCCTTATTCTTAGCAGTGAGTTGTCACTGGATTCAGCTTTGGATGAATTAACTAGCTAGCAAATCCTCTCCATTCCTAAGGGGAATGGCAAAATAATGGAGTCTAAATCACAAATGGTGGAGTGAGACATTAATTGAATAGCCACGGCACCAGTGTTCAGTCATTGCAACCAGATGTGTTTATTCCAGTCCATGTGGCTAAATTACCATTTGGTGCTGTGGCATTGTCAACTATTCCCTAATAATGAGAAATTGTGACAAACCTACAATTTTGGAAGGAATGCATGTACTTAAAACAGACATTGAAATTGCCCAAAAAAATTATTTGAAATTTGGTTTGGTCAATAGTGAAACAGAGTGAACATAGTCTAATGTTTCAAAATGTAGCCAACGCTGTGGTCCTGATGTTCTGAACCCCACCAATTCCTTTTACCATCATTGGCCCATTTACATAGAAATCAGTTAATTGTTAATGTACATAAATTCAACAGACTTAAAGCAGTCAGATTGACTCGTACAAGTACACGAAAATGTACAATGCAGACTGGAGCACAGATCCTGGTACTCTGACAGAGAGCAAGCGGTAGTCCCGTAGGTTTGGGGGGAGGGGGTGGTAAAGGGGTGTTGGAAAGGCAGCTCTGGAGTCAGCGGTGGTGTGGTCCTCTGGTTGTTTTGGTCCTAGCCCAGCCCAGCTAGGTGATATCCAGTGGTGGGTGTTAAGTGAGGACTTGTCTGATCTCGCGGTGGACGTAGCACAGGAAGTCCATGTAGGAGGCTCCACCGTGGAGCCCCTTGTCCTCTACCAGGTGCTGGCGGAAAAGCATCTCCGACCGGTCCTTCTGCTTCACAATCAGGAGCTATATTGGGATAACATGGGGACATAGTCAGCTTACGACCGAACTTGAGGAACAAAACTGTGCATTTTACATTTACATAATTTAGCAGACGCTCCTATCCAGAGCACTGGAGTACTACAGTCCTGCTGCTTGTTTCTCCCTGGAACTTAATTGATATATTTTAGCTGTCTATTCAAATAATTTATTTCACTAATCCTTACATTTTGACAATTGCTTACAGGCAAAACCAGGTAAGCTTGAGCAGCCTGTTGAATTTGTGATCTGTTATTGTGCCCAGGGCTTAAGACAGTTATGCCCACTTGTGGTCAATTTGGTTACATGTTTGTTTCCCAATTCAAAAAACGGATACCATTCTTTCATTATATCAAATTAGTTTGGGGAAAGTATGCACAGTAACCAACATTGAATACTGTACCTTCATGGAGCTGGGCCTCTGGTCAAGCAAGGAGTCAACAATGGAGCGCAGCTTCTTAGACTGGGGGTTATCCAGCTCTGGTAGGGACCTCTGGAAAGCACACACACATGAATATTAGTGATATGCTGTGCTTTCTACACAGTCTGGAATTAACTTTTCAAATATCGCAACCATCTGAACTAATGGTATGACTAACTTCAGTGTTTCGAAACACCCCATCTCCTGTAGAGCTTGGGGGTAAGGAAGTTACTGTCCTCACCAGGTCAATGGGCAAGTGGGCAAAGGAGGTCACGTTGAAGATGCTCTGGATCAGTTCTGGGGGGCAGGCCTGGCCCAGCCACAGGAAGAGGGAGCACCCATTCTCCAGCAGGAACATGCCAGCATCTGTCAGGCGCTCTTCAGAACAGCGCACCGGAGCTGGCACCATGTCACTGGCAACGTCCATGTTGTGCTGGAAGAGGAGGATTAATGAATACATTTACTTTATTGAACAAATTAGGGGGCTGGCACATGAATGTCATGTTAGACCACACTATAACAAGAACCATAGTATTTACAGTGGGGGAAAAAAGTATTTAGTCAGCCACCAATTGTGCAAGTTCTCCCACTTAAAAAGATGAGAGAGGCCTGTAATTTATCATAGGTACACGTCAACTATGACAGACAAAATGAGAGAAAAAAAATCCAGAAAATCACATTGTAGGATTTTTAATGAATTTATTTGCAAATTATGGTGGAAAATAAGTATTTGGTCACCTACAAACAAGCAAGATTTCTGGCTCTCACAGACCTGTAACTTCTTCTTTAAGAGGCTCCTCTGTCCTCCACTCATTACCTGTATTAATGGCACCTGTTTGAACTTGTTATCAGTATAAAAGACACCTGTCCACAACCTCAAACAGTCACACTCCAAACTCCACTATGGCCAAGACCAAAGAGCTGTCAAAGGACACCAGAAACAAAATTGTAGACCTGCACCAGGCTGGGAAGACTGAATCTGCAATAGGTAAGCAGCTTGGTTTGAAGAAATCAACTGTGGGAGCAATTATTAGGAAATGGAAGACATACAAGACCACTGATAATCTCCCTCGATCTGGGGGGACCTAGTGAATGACCTGCAGAGAGCTGGGACCAAAGTAACAAAGCCTACCATCAGTAACACACTACGCCGCCAGGGACTCAAATCCTGCAGTGCCAGACGTGTCCCCCTGCTTAAGCCAGTACATGTCCAGGCCCGTCTGAAGTTTGCTAGAGTGCATTTGGATGATCCAGAAGAGGATTGGGAGAATGTCATATGGTCAGATGAAACCAAAATAGAACTTTTTGGTAAAAACTAAACTCGTCGTGTTTGGAGGACAAAGAATGCTGAGTTGCATCCAAAGAACACCATACCTACTGTGAAGCATGGGGGTGGAAACATCATGCTTTGGGGCTGTTTTTCTGCAAAGGGACCAGGACGACTGATCCGTGTAAAGGAAAGAATGAATGGGGCCATGTATCGTGAGATTTTGAGTGAAAACCTCCTTCCATCAGCAAGGGCATTGAAGATGAAACGTGGCTGGGTCTTTCAGCATGACAATGATCCCAAACACAACGCCCGGGCAACGAAGGAGTGGCTTCGTAAGAAGCATTTCAAGGTCCTGGAGTGGCCTAGCCAGTCTCCAGATCTCAACCCCATAGAAAATCTTTGGAGGGAGTTGAAAGTCCGTGTTGCCCAGCGACAGCCCCAAAACATCACTGCTCTAGAGGAGATCTGCATGGAGGAATGGGCCAAAATACCAGCAACAGTGTGTGAAAACCTTGTGAAGACTTACAGAAAACGTTTGACCTGTGTCATTGCCAACAAAGGGTATATAACAAAGTATTGAGAAACTTTTATTGACCAAATACTTATTTTCCACCATAATTTGCAAATAAATTCATTAAAAATCCTACAGTGATTTTCTGGATTTTTTCCCTCATTTTGTCTGTTATAGTTGACGTGTACCTATGATGAAAATTACAGGCCTCTCTCATCTTTTTAAGTGGGAGAACTTGCACAATTGGTGGCTGACTAAATACTTTTTTCCCCCCACTGTAGATGCATCCCTGCAAAAGAGTATTGACATGTACCCCAACCAAATAGTATTGGATGAGATTGCAAATATATTTTTTTTACCCATCAAGTTAGCCTGACAAGTTAAATCCATCTTGCACTTTCATTCAGGTCAGAGTGAGCAGTAATCCAGAGTTTGCAGCATATTATTAGGAGGACCATTCCACCCATAATTTTGCAATATTACAAAGTGTTGCTTTAAAACAATTGCAGTGTTTGGTGACAGTGTCACACAAATTAAAACAAAATTAATCACAAGTGCCTGGCCCCTTCCAAGCAAACACTGCAATTGAAGTGAAGGAGAACAACTGCCGCCATTGTCTCAGATATTTGGTCACAATTATGAAGCATGTAATTATTCTACTAAGGGCAACTTATACATCAAATTAAATGTTAGTAGACCTTACCGTGAAATACTTACAAGCCCTTAATCAACAATTCAGTTCAAGAAATAGTTAAAAAAATAACGAGGCTATATACAGGGGGTACCAGTACCAAGTCAATGTGCAGGGGTACAAGTTAGTCGAGGTAACTTGTACATGTAGGTAGGGGTAAAGTGACTATGCATAGACAAACAGCAAGTAGCAGCAGTGTAAAAACAAAGGGAGGGGGGAGGTGTCAATGTAATTAAACTTAGCAAAAAAAGAAACGTCCCTTTTTCAGGACCCTGTCTTTCAAAGATAATTAGTGAATATCCAAATAACTTCACAGATCTTCATTGTAAAGGGTTTAAACACTGTTTCCCATGCTTGTTCAATGAACCATAAACAATTAATGAACATGCACCTGTGGAACGGTCGTTAAGACACTAACAGCTTAGATGGTAGGCAATTAAGGTCACAGTTATGAAAACGTAGGACACTAAAGACGCCTTTCTACTGACTCTGAAAAACTAAAGAAATATGCCCAGGGTCCCTGCTCATCTGCATGAACGTGCCTTAGGCATGCTGCAAGGAGGCATGAGGACTGCAGATGTGACCAGGGCAATAAATTGCAATGTCCGTACTGTGAGACGCCTAAGACAGCGCTACAGGGAGACAGGACGGACAGCTGATCGTCCTCGCAGTGGCAGACCACGTGTAACAACACCTGCACAGGATCCGAACATCACACCTGCGGGACAGGTACAGGATGGCAACAACTGCCCGAGTTACACCAGGAACGCACAATCCCTCCATCAGTGCTCGGACTGTCCGCAATAGGCTGATAGAGGCTGGACTGAGGGCTTGTAGGCCTGTTGTAAGGCAGGTTCTCAACAGACATCACCGGCAACAATGTCGCCTATGGGCACAAACCCACCGTCGCTGGACCAGACAGGACTGGCAAAAAGTGCTCTTCACTGAGTCGCGGTTTTGTCTCACCAGGGGTGATGGTCAGATTTGCGTTTATCGTCGAAGGAATGAGCGTTACACCAAGGCCTGTACTCTGGAGGGATCGATTTGGAGGTGGAGGGTCCGTCGTGGACTGGGGCGGTGTGTCACAGCATCATCGGACTGAGCTTGTTGTCATTGCAGGCAATCAACGCTGTGCGTTACAGGGAAGGCATCCTCCTCCCTCATGTGGTACCCTTCCTGCAGGCTCATCCTGACATGACCCTCCAGCCTGACAATGCCACCAGCCATACTGCACGTTCTGTGCATGATTTCCTGCAAGACAGGAATGTCAGTGTTCTGCCATGGCCAGCGAAGAGCCCGGATCTCAATCTCATTGAGCACGTCTGGGACCTGTTGGATCGGAGGGTGAGGGCTACGGCCATTCCCCCCAGAAATGTCTGGGAACTTGCAGGTGCCTTGGTGGAAGAGTGGTGTAACATCTCACAGCAAGAACTGGCAAATCTGTTGCAGTCCATGAGGAGGAGATGCACTGCAGTACTTAATGCAGCTGGTGGCCACACCAGATACTGACTGTTACTTTTGATTTTGACCCCCCCATTTGTTCAGTGACACATTATTCCATTTCTGTTAGTCACGTCTGTGGAACTTGTTCAGTTTGTCTCAGTTGTTGAATCTTGTTATGTTCATACAAATATTTACACATGTTAAGTTTGAGAGGACTTTTCTTTTTTTACTGAGTTTAGTCCGGGTGGACATTTGATTAATTGCTGTGCGGTAGCAGAGAGAACAGTCTATGACTTGTGTGATTGGAGTCTGACAATTTTTGGGGCCTTCCTCTGACACCGCCTAGTATATAGGTCCTGGATGGCAGGAAGCTTGGCCCCAGTGATTTACTGATAGGAGCCCGTAAAACGGCAGCCATCCCCTCCAGCGCCTAGTGTTACATTTACCCTCAAACACGCTTCTCAGAAGTTGTTCATGGACACAATTTATTGAACTTTTCTTACCACCTCAAAATGGCAGGTTTCGTTAAAGTGCTGGGTAATTGCTGGCATGCAATACACAGCCTCATACAGTGGCATCATATTTATGGAATTAGTTGGCATATCAAATAAGAGGATGTCACACCTTAGGGATGCCAATACCAAAGAACTAGTAAATGCATCGACTCAATTGTAGTTGCTTATAGGAGACGCACACTGAAATGCTGTTCATCTGTAGAACAGGGGTCTTTAACCTCAGAATCCTTTGGCTAGCCTGGGATCCACAAGGAATATATTTGTTTCTTTATTGTATCACTTGTAGTCAGATCTCAGCACTATGATATGAGGACAGTGGGATTGGGAAAGAGTGATATAAAACTACTAAGAGTGAGGTCCATTAGCCTCAATGAAGAAGGAATTGCAGTTGGTAAAAAGGACGAGAGTGAGTGTGTGTGTGTGTGTGTGTGTGTGTGTGAGAGAGAGTTCTCATCAATAGGATGGGACATGGGTAAAGCAGGAGGTGGGTGTGTTTGTGTGTGTATGCTTTCATCAGTGGGATAAGGCAGGAGAGAGTACTTGGTGTGTTGTCTCACCAGTGGGACGAGGCGTGGGTAGAGAAGCAGCTGGGTATCCTCCACCCCCATGGCTGTGGTGATGAGTCTCTGGTGAGCCCTGTCGTCTGTAGAGAGCTCAGCGCTGCCCACCAGGGGACCAGTCTTCAACAGGCTGTTTAAGTAGACCGGGAACACCTTCATGGCATCAGGCAGGATCAGCTACACGGGGAGAGACGAGCTAGTGAGAACACCCCTAATAAACACAGGACTCCCTGATGCCACAGTAATATTGTTTGTTTGCAATTCTTGAAAAGACGAAAGCAAGCATAAAACTGCAGTAGGAATCAAGTGTGCCGGAATCTGTCTTTTATCAGTTTACTTTTGTACTCTGCACCTGTACGTTTCTGGATGTTAGTATACTTCATGTCCCTAGAGACCATATGCTGCGCCATGTTCAGTTTTTAGCATTCACACACTGACCTATGAGTGAATAACACCACAATCTTACACACCTCACAGTGCTGGATTAGTAGAAAGCGTTCACATATTACCCTACATACACAAAGACAATTTGTCACAAATGGAGAATAACGTTCTCTATTCAAGTTAACTGTGTTGTATGCCACTGACCTGGCTGGCAGCGGAGGGACTGGCACAGTTTTTCCTGTAGCAGGCCAGCATGTGGGCCATCTGGTTGACCAGGATCTCCCTCACCGTCTTCAGGGGCTGGTTCAGCATGGCACGGTACGCTGGGAGGGAGAGGGGGAGGAAGGGAGAGGTAGAGGGCATTTGAAGGTCAGTAACTGTGTTCCCACGCTAAACCTGTCTGCACAATTGAGAGCATGCTGTCGGGCTGTATCACCGCCTGGTACGGCAACTGCACCGCCCACAACCGCAGGACTCTCCAGAGGGTGGTGCGGTCTGCACAACGCATCACCGGGGGCAAACTTCCTGCCATCCAGGACACCCACAGCACCCGATGTCACAGGAAGGCCAAAAAGATAATCAAGGACAACTACCACCCGAGCCACTGCCTGTTCACCCCACTATCATCCAGAAGGCGAGGTCAGTACAGGTGCATCAAAGCTGGGACCGAGAGAATGAAAAACAGCTTCTATATCAAGGCCATCAGACTGTTAAACAGCCATCACTAGCACAGAGAGGCTGCTGCCTACATAGACTTAAAAATCACTGGCCACTTTAATAAATGGAACACTAGTCACTTTAATGATGTTTACATATCTTGCATTACCCATCTCATATGTATATACTGTATTCTATACTATCTATTGCATCTTAGCCTATGCCACTCTGATAATGATAATGACATTGCTCATCCATATATTTATATATTCTTATTCCATTCTTTTACTTAGATTTGTGTGTATTAGGTTTTGTTGTGGAACTGTTAGATATTACTTGCTAGATATTGCTGCACTGTCGGAACTAGAAGCAAAAGCATTTCGCTACACCCGCAATAACATCTGCTAACCATGTGTATGTGACCAATACATTTGATTTGAAGTGGTCTCATCCAAGGGGTTTGCTTGTCACTAATACTTTATGGGAGGCATATGGTTCTGCTTTTAAAAGTTACTTCACCTCTTAGTTTTCTTAAGGTGATTTACATATACAAGGTAGCTAAAGTGAAGCATGAAGTGTTTAGAAAATTACAGATAATCATGAATGAATGGTGAATAATGATGAGTGAAAGGTTAGGCACAAAGATCATACCCACAAGACATGCTCTCACCATCACCGAATAATAGGGGAGGTTAGCATTTTTTGGGGGGTATGATATTTATGCCTCCGTAACTTTCTCACTCATCATTATTCACGATTAATTCATGTGTATCTATAATCATGGTAGCATCCACATTAATGTATAAGTGTTTAGAAACATATTCTATTCTTATTTACAATATAAGTGACTCCAAAATGACACAATACATTTACCATTAATTTCTATTGGGCACTAAATAATCTGAAACACAATCAAAACAAATTACAAACTAGTTGGATGCATTTGCAGAGTCACAAGTTTGATGTAGTCATTGCATACTAGGAATATGGGGCCAAATTCTATACTTTTGACTACTTTAATACACATAAGTGAATTTGTCCAAATACTTTTGGTCCCCTAAAATGGGGGGACTATGTACAAAAAGTACTGTAATTTCAAATCCAAAGTGCTGGAGTACAAAGCCAAAACAACAACAAAAATGGTCACTGTCCAAATACTTTGAGCTCACTGTACATATAGGGTATGAGTATGCTGTATATAATGCAGAATTACACATCAGCCAGCTATGTTCCACTACTAAGTGGTATTTAACTGATATTATTTATACCCGAATCTCATTCAATATGCCTAGATGGGAGGGAGCGAATATATTCAAACAGGAAATATACATGAACATTCCAAATGGACAAGTTCAGGAGGTATCTCTTCTTCAATCAAACCTTTTGGTAACTTCTATGAGGCAAACATACATAATGCCTTTAAAGTGGATTTATAATGTCTTATGATACACTTATAGGATATTTCTCTCATTTGGACCATACTGACACAGGCCTAAAGACAGTAATACTCTGCTGTGTGTAGTCACCTGACTTGGTGAAGAAGTTGATGAGGGCGTCCGTCTCACAGCTCTTGTAGAGCTCAGACAGCTGTGCGCTGCAGTTCAGACTGAGGTTGTGGATCCGCAGACGCCGCTGGCCGCTGATGGTCGTGTACAGCAATGCACACTGGGAAACGGAACACACACAGAAGCCATTAGTGGGTTAAAAGACTGTCAGGGTTTTAATCTAACATATCAGAATAGGATGTTTAAGGCTTTGTGGAACCCTAATTGTCATACTTGAGTAAAAGTAAATGTTATACATCAAATTCCTTTTATTAAGCAAACCAGACAGCCTGATTTTCTTGTTTTTTTATTTACGGATAGCCAGGGGCACACGCCAACACAATTTATAAAATGTTTAGTGAGTCTGCCAGATGAGAGGCAGTGGGGATGACAACACATTATATTCACAGGTGCATGATTTGGACCATATTGCTGTCCTGCCTGAGCATTAGAAATGTATCATACTTTTTGGTGTAGGAAAATGTAAGGGAGTAACAAGTACATATTTTCTTTAGGAATGTAGTGGAGTTAAAAAGTTGTCAAATTAAAGAGTAATGTACAGATACCCTCAAACAACTTAAGTAGTACTTCAAAGTACTTTACACCACTGGTTATTAAATGTGATGCATATTTTTGTTTTGGTTGCAGTCAAATACCCACTTTGCAGTGAACCTAAATATCTATTAGTGGCAACCATTCTAAAATTAGATTCACATTGTTCGTTTTGAGTTTTATGAGTGGTTGCGAGACACACCTGCATGAGAGCGCCCGTCTCCTCGCTAAGTGTGTCGTCGTGTTTGAACTCCACCGTCACAGCCTTGTCACAGTCCACGGCAGCCATCTCCACATCTGTGGTGTTGTTCATGTGGATGGCACCAAAGAAGTCTGTAGCCCTGAAGCCTGGAAGGAGAGACAAGGGACACCTATTAGTAAGTATCTTGGAGTGGCAGTACAGTCCAGCAGTATTAAAATCAATTTTACCTCAAATTTTAATCAATGCAATGGAATTATCTGGCGACCTTGTAAAACTGTTGGAAACAAATGTAATAAAATAAAAATTCCTACAATCGAGACTGTACATATTTTGGGGTTTCTGAGTACATACAAGGGCAATGAAATGAGTTCATACACTTAATACATTAGATGGCTGAATTACCTGTGCTGGTGCGGACTCTCATGATGGCATCAAACCCGATGGCCTTCTCGACATCCTTCCTCAGGTCACTCAAGAAATGCTCTCCATCCATGTCCACCTGAAATACACAGGTAGTGCTACAGTCAACCACAAGGTGGCAGAGTTTCCACAATTACCCTCCATGGACTATTGTACCAGGGCCAAGATCTGAATGCAATTTAGGCTCTAATGCATTTAAGGTAATGTGATTCATCACATTTGTTCAATAACAGAACAATTGGTGGACTCAAATGGCAGTTTGGACAAAATACAAACTATCCCGTTCTACCATGCCATGTTTGGTGGTGGTGCCTAACTCGGACTTAGGCTCCCAAGGTTTTCCCGTGGCTGTGACCATGTTGCTCCCTCCCTCCTTACAAATTTCATTATCACATTATTTATTTATTGGTTTATTTGACTTTATGGACTGTGGACTACAAAATATTTATATGTTGGGTTGTGGCGTCTGTCCTCGGCTGTGGATGTAATGTGTATGTACCTGGAAGTTGCTGTACTTGAAGACGGAGCCTCCTGTGTGTGTGGGGACATCTCCCATAGTGGCGATGTCCACGTACTGGCTGGGGAAGAGGAAGAGGTCCACGCTGCAGCCCTGAGACACACAGTCCTTGGACAGCTGCTCATAGACAGCCTTCTGGGGCTGGAACAGAGTCTAGGACACCGCAGGGGACCCAAACAAGACAGGACACACAAACACACAGACAGCAGGCTATGGATATCTCACCCAGTCAAAAAAATGTGATAGCCGATGATATGGTGCATTTAAAGTCCGCATTTTGAATACAAATGTTAAAAGACTGCCAATTTTGCTTCACCTTTTCCTTCTCTGTGTTTATCAGCTTCTTGTCGTCCCTGTTCTTCAGTTTCCCAGGGGCCTCAGCGGTGGGGATGGAGGAGTGGAAGATGAACAGCTTGCCGCTGCATTCTGCTGCCTGGAGAGGACGCAAATAAATAATCACACTAGAGAGAGACAAGAGAGATAAAAGGAGAGTGCTAATATAAGAAAAAGGTGTGCACATAAATGTATTTCCTTGTGGGACTGTTTCAATGAAGGGAACAACATTGATTTGACCTGGACGGGTCTCTGTGTGTTCATTTTCAGTGAGGGGATTCTATGGTTGGAGTTTCTAGGTCAACAGATTGCTAAGGCAATAGTCAACAGTCTTACCGACCCAAATGAGTTACTAACTCACCATTATGCCAGTACTAGCATTTTCTGCAAGGCTGTCTGTTCACATGTCAAATCTATTTGACCTCTACCACACATTCAATCAAACTGAAGACAAGTCGTTGGGAAATATCCAGTTGGAGCCGATTAAATAAACAGTTCTATTAGGAAGCGAAAAGGAAAGTTGCAAAGTCATTGAGTTGGAGAAAGCGCAGCATAACAGTCTGTGTCGACAAAAGAAAACAATCCCTGTTTTGGGGGGAGAGTTGGCGGTAAGGAGGCTGTGACTGCAAAAAGTTAAGTTGGCCTCTACAGCTGTTATTTGTTTGGACTATTCTACTTCCTTTAGTTTTAAGATTGGTTGATAATAATCTAGTAGGATCAACTTATTATGTGAGTATGTTGTCTTTTAATCTGTTGTCTTTTCATTTCAATATGTCAGTGTTTTTGTATCTATCCTAATGTAAATAAACAATTTAAGTGAAATCAGCACTTTAGTGTCCATCACCACCTGGACAAAGTAACTGTTGGCTTGCCATCTTCCCTTCCCTTGTGTGTGAGTGGGAGTTGACATCCAGCCTCTCACCTTCAGTGCCTCTACCCCAGCCTGGATGACAGGGGCAAAGACTGTCTCGCTCTCGTTGGTGTCTGCAAACATGTCAGGGATCTGGTCCAGGAGACTGGAAAGGGGTTAAGAGAGAGGGACAGTGTCACAATCGTTCACCTCTGGTACATTGGTTTTCAACACTTGGTAGATAATCGTGTTAAATAGCTCTGTTTCATTGCCTCCTTTATGACAGCTAATCTATAAGGATAATTAGTTAACTGGATGGACATTGACCGTAGTACTTTCACCTTTCTGTGGTTTCTAAGGAAGAGAAATAAGAAAGTTATTTTAGATCACTGGGACAGCAAGTGGTTAGATCGAAAGGCAATGTCCTTACAATTCCACAGATCATTGGGGGACTATGATGCACATGAACAGTTCAGAAGAGTCCATTTCACAGGTCATACAGTAGACAAAACCCCTTTCTAGCAGCAACTCAATTCTTCTAAAGTCATATTTGGATCTAAACCAAGGCCTCAACTCACATTTGTTTAATTATATCGGGAGTAAGAGATTTAGCCAAAGGTCCCTGTTTGACATGGACTACCGCCATGTACTCTGTACGACTGCATAGACATACCAAAATATAAAGTGGTGATAAATCATTTTGGTGCCATACACAACTGCATAGATAAGACTATTTTCCCATATAAATCCACAAGTATTTTTAATATAAAATCTTTCCAGGGACCACTTAACCTCCTAAGCATTCTCTGGACGTAACTGTTTTTCAACGCCATCTTGGCGTTTATGATGAAAACCACAAACTAGAGATGCAGAGAAAATGAGGCTTTGGAAACCTTCTGATGGGCAAGATAATCAAATGCTGTCATTCAACATTTGTTATTACCACATGAAATATGTAGCTCAGAAATCAGCTTCGACAGAAATAGAGGCACATCCATGGGCTTTGAGAAGGAGCTGGAGATATAAAGACAAAGTATACGTTTAGCAAAAAGAAAACAACCACTACTAACACACTACGCTCCAAAGTAAGATTCATCCAGACAAGATTTTCACCCTTTTGTCTTCATCAGGTTGTCCGACTTTGGAGCATAGATTGCAGTGTGCAGAGATTATCTTGTTATTTTTTCTAAACAAAGAGCTTCCATTGGGCTATATAAGCTAAACAGTGTCAATGCCTTCTTCAAGAGGTTCAGCTTCCTCACATTACCTATGGCCTTTCATACACACTAATTAACATATCTAAATATTAGAAAATATGCCATCAAGGATCACTACTCAAATCAACTCTCATGTCAGAGATGTGCCCTTTCTCTTACTTGTTGATGACTGCGCACGACTCCTGGAAGTTGACAAGGAAGCCGTCGAGCAGCGGGACGAACATCTCTGCCGTGTCGGATACTACCATCATCTGGGGCTGGGCCAGGGCACTGTTCACGTTGTAGAAGTGTAGGATCTTGTTGTAGGTGACGAAGCCCACCTTCACCATCGAGCTCTCAGCACCATCCTCTCTGTGGGGGAGGAAGAGAGGAAAAAAGTGCGAGATGAATGTGTGTGTGTGTGTGTGTGTCAATAGAGGGGGGAGAGAGAGAGAGAGAGAGAGAGAAAGAGTAGCCTGGTGTGAGTCATGAATTATAATCATGTCTAAAACACACAGATTTGGGACCAGATGGGAATTTATTTTTTTTCTAACCATGCTGGTCCTTAGAGGGAACTATGTTACAGCGTATATGAAGTAATCAAATGTTGTAGTCGTTTATCCACTTTGACATAATGGCCAATAAGCAGCAATAAGTCCCCTATTCTGAAGTGTTATTCTAAACATGATATTTTAAAAGACTGTTCCTGACATGAACGGATCACAAATCAATGTGGATACACACTGTATGCACTTAGCGGTAGCTATCAGACCTGGTTTCAAACACTATTTGAAATCACTAAAATACTTCAGCTGTCTTTGAATGAACTTTCATGGTGTAATGGAAACAATAGAATAGTCCCAAATGTGTAAACTCTGCCCATCTGGCACTCCAGGCAGGCTAAAGCAAAACGCTCAACATATTTGAAAGATTTCAAATAGTATTTGAACCCAGGTATGTTAGCTTCAGCTAACTATACATACAGTCCTACAGCATAGATAACAGCCAAGTCAAAGCTGACTTATGAAATTGCTCCTATCCTTTTGGTCCATGATTTGGTTATGGATGCTTCAAGAGGTAATGATAAATTAGAGAGCTAATGGCTTTCCCACAACTCTCCATGGACCACTCCGAGATCACTACATCAAAGCTGAGGCCCTATTTCATGCTTGGTTTGAGGACCTTTGTATATTTATTTGATCTACCAAAACAACTTCCCGCCCTATAAATCACAGTGAAGTTTTAGGGTAGGCAAACCAATGCGCTAAAAACATTCCTGGGGGCAGAATTGCTTTTTTAGGGCAAACCAAAACAAAATGGGAGAGAGTCTTATTCCGAGGATGGGCACCTCTTGCAGCAGCCACCACTCAGCTAATTAAAAGGCCCATTACCCAGGCACGCCTAATGAACTTACACAAACATCCACGGAAGAGTGGAATAACAGAATATGGGATCGTTTATTGGCAGAGGAGAGCGGGAGGAAGAGAGCGAGTGTGTTGGAGAGTTAGACTTCAGAAGGTCCTGACATTGCTTTTTCTCTAGGAGGGGTAGTGGGGTATTGAGGCTTAGAGGGGCTGAGGAGAGAGGCGTAGAGTTGTTTTTCTTCAGGGCAAAGTGCTGATAGGTGAAGGAAACAAGGGGCCACGTATGCTTTCAATTAAGCACACACACACACTTTCTCACACATTAAACTACACCAACAATTTCCTTCTCTTTCTCTCACAAACACACACACTCCTCTCCAACCTCAACAGAAGTTCAATTACATTAATAAGAAACTGTCAATGAAATATATGACTGTTTCCCTCCCTTTTACAGATCTCGCTTTCATTTTCATGGACTGGAGAGAATTCAACGCAGTCGAGATAAAACCAACTTGTTTTGACGAGGCTAGAGGGAAGGTAGTAGAGAGAACCAAGTGTGACATAGACCAGAGCCTGTGGGACTAGTAGGTCTGTTGAACTGGGGCCTGTATCTAAAACCCTCACTATTAAAAACGACATGTAAAATCATTCCCCATCTGACAAGGGGCTTGTCTCCCTTTCTTTCTGAGCACTGCAAGAGCAATACGGAACATGTACCTCAACTCAATGTAAAGTCCCATAGAGCGGACTTCTATCAACATCATTCATAAGAACTGATAGGAGAAGCAGTCCGGCAATGCAGGCTTGTTATTGCTTGTTTTCATACCCAGTATCAATGATGAAATATTAAGATGACAGAGAGAAATACTACAGGATTTAGTCTACACCTGTTTTTGCTTTCTCCGAGCCCCGTTTCCCCCCTAACAAGCTAGAGGCAAAGATGTGACTATTTCGGCAGCATTGCTCATCCATATAAGTGTTGGGTGTCCAACATGTTTTCCATCAGTTTAAATGCAGCAGAGAGCAAAGCTTCACAACGGAGAACAGGGAGAACACTACTAGCTGTTTCGGGGGTGACGTAAGGGTTCTGTACAAATATGTCCATAAGGCTGCAGGCTAGGGGCGAGAGCAAGTTTCCAAATAAGTTATTTTAGGAAAGGCCAGGTGAAGTATAGAATCGTTTTCTCAGTGATAAATCAAAACCTTTTTTCCTCGCCGGCGACCCACATAAAACGGCCAAAATCAGACCCATCTGTGCAGCGGACTTCTTGTGTTTTAGACGGGATTCAAGGTTGGAATCTGCACAATAACATTTTCCGTCTTAGGCCACCCTCCTTCTTTCCCTCCCCCTAGCATCTCCCCCCTCCCACCAACCTACTCCCAACAACCTTCAGGCAATAATTTTCAACCGATGAGATACTTGAATACTTGGCTTAAAGCTTTTTTCTTTGCCTTGGACTTGTGGGACCTCCTTATTTGGCAGTGTATCGCAGCCCACCACCCAAATAACAAACCACCCAGCTACACATTATGGCTGATGGGGGTGTCGAAAACCAACACTTCCATAAATCTAAATGTGGTTTCTCTCTGCCTTGAGACACCAGTTAGCATGGTATCTCATTACTCATAACACCTTAGAGGGCACAGCATTGTATGAAGGATTCTGACATTGGAGACAGCTTACGTAGTTTCACTGTGACCTCCAAGGCTATGTAGTGGGTCTCAAAAGACCTCTATCACTCCAAGTTGGCAGATTTTATATAAAAGACCTTGGAGCTAGGCTGTAGGCAGAGCGATGTTGGGCCAGTTTCTAGAAAGTGCTCAAATGCAGGCGGTTCAAGGCTCTATTCCTTGATTATGAGAGGTCAGTGTTTGATAGCTTGCGTGTGTGTGTGTGTGCGTATGCTTATGTGTGTGTACCTGGGCAGGTTGTCTAGCAGGGTCTTCAGCTCCTCACACACCAGTCTGACCAGTCCACTCTTGATGTTGGCATAGGACACGTCGATCATGAAGATGTACGCTGGAGGACTGGCTGGCTTGTTGTTCTGACAGACCGAGAGAAAGAGCGACAACATTTTGAATTACAAATTCAATTCAACTACTGTGTTACTTCACCTTATTTCTTTTCTTTTATTTGCTCATATTTTGCTGTATTTAAAATATATTTGACTGTCTAAATGCAGTTTTAAAACCCTGAAACACCAACACAACTACTGTTGAATTATACCATAAAATCAACACAATTGACCTTGCCTCCAATGGCCAAACATCTCAGCTTGGATGTCGGCTCTTTCTCCTGGGGAAGGCCTGTCTGCTCCAAGACCTCTCCATCACGGTTGACAACTCCAGGGTGTTCCCCTCCCAGAGTGCAAAGAACCTTGGCGTGACCCTGGACAACACCCTGTCATTCTCTGCAAACGTCAAAGCAGTGACTCGCTCCTGCAGGTTCAAGCTCTACAACATCCGTAGAGTATGACCTTTCCTCACACAGGATGCGGCGCAGGTCCTAATCCAGGCACTTGTCATCTCCCGTCTAGACTACAACTCTCTGTTGGCTGGGCTCCCCGCTTATGCCATTAAACCCCTGCAACTTATCCAGAATGCCGCAGCCCGCCTAGTGTTCAACCTTTTTAAGTTCTCCCATGTCACCCCGCTCCTCTGCACACTCCACTGGCTTCCAGTTGAAGCTCGCATCATCTTCAAGACCCTGGTACTTGCCTACGGAGCAGCAAGGGGAACTGCCCCTCCTTACCTTCAGGCTATGCTCAAACCCTACAACCCAACCCGAGCACGCAGTTCCGCCACATTTGGTCTCTTGGCCATCCCAACCCTACGGGAGGGCAGCTCCCGCTCAGCCCAGTCAAATCTCTTCTCTGTCCCGGCATCCCCTAAAGTGTAGTCCTGTGTAGCTCAGTTGGTAGAGCATGGCGTTTACAACGGCAGGGTTGTGGGTTCGTTTCCCACGGGGGACCAGTATGAAATTTTTTTTTAAAAATGTATGCACTCACTAAACTAAGTCGCTCTGGATAAGAGCGTCTGCGAAATGACTAAAATGTCAAATGTAAATGTAGGACAGCGGAGTCCCTGCCCATCTTTCGAAAACATCTGAAACCCTACCGCTTTGAAGATTATCTTAAATAAATCACGGTGCCCCCGACACCCCCCAAAAAAAACAGACACTTCTCTTTTCCCACTAGCACTCACTTTGATGATAAATACTTTTAGGGAAAATGTACTTGATACGATTGTGATCTTAAGATGAATGCACTAACTGTAAGTCGCTCTGGATAAGAGCGTCGCTAAATGACTAAAATGTAAATGTAAACAGATGCTGATTCATTGAATCAGACGGCTCATTCATCACAAGTTCGAGCCCTGAATGCTGATTGGCTGAAAGCCATGGTATATCAGAGCGTATACCACGGGAATGACAGAACATCATTTATTTTTACTGCTCTAATTATGTTGGTAACCAGCTTATAATAGCAATAAGGCACCTCGGGGGTTTGTGGTATATTGCAAATATACCACAGCTAAGGGCTGTATCTAGGCACTCCGCGTTGCGTCGTACATAAGAACAGCCCTTAACCGTGGTATATTGGCCATAGTGCCAAGTGTTTACACTGAAGCCACTTATCCCTTAACCTTTGAAATTGTAGGCTACTCTCATCAAAACTACATTGGTCAATGGACTCTTCATACCTCCACCACACCCAGTACTTTATTTGTGTTTAAACGTACAGCTTGCTTGGATCTTGGAGCCGTTAGGAGGGACTATGTAACATCCGACTGCCCTCCATGTTAGGAATGTGGATGAGCATGCCATTGTTTTGTTTCCGCGGTAACAGTCTGTGACATAGCTTACCTCTGAGGCTTTCGATAAAAGCCGTCCGGGACTACATTTCCAAATATTAATAAACAGACTGAAGTAACACGTTGGCTTAAGTAGCGAAACGTTAAGTTGCTAGCCCCCACCTACCTCTACTCAGAATGTACAAGAAAAGACAACCCCACAGAGCACAACAAAATGGAGAACCTATTGAGATCTTTTGGCTTTAATGCAGTGGTCTGGACGGAACAGAACTGAACATGCTTTTGCCTGTGCTTCCTTCTAATCATCTGGTCCTGAATGAAGAATGCAGTGTCTGCCAAGAGGTGAGCCCCTCCTCCCTACACACACACAATTTATAGACCCCCCTCAGAAAGACCACTGGGACTGGAGATCCTAATAACTTTCACTTTCTGTCCATATAAGTTTTTAGGAGATAGACTCTTGCCAAGCATTGAACGTTTTATCCATGCATTGTCACAGCTTCCCCCCCCCCCCCCCCATGTCAATTCACATTGTAAGCTATTGGGTCTATTGGTGACGTATAAACTACTTAGAATATTGATTTAATTAACTTTTCATCCATACAAAAGTCATTCAAACTAGTTTCTACCAATTCCTATTTCTGTCTATTTGTATAAAATGAAACCAAGCAATATCATACATACGGTTCACTATAAAGGCAGAAAAACTGCAATAGTAGGGAATCGCATACCTTGCAATAATCCAGGGTGGCGGCGAACTCGTAGGACCCCAGCGACAGCTCTGGCCTCTCGTAGAAGTCCACCCTTCTGCCCATGTGGTCCAGGTGTTGGAAATAAAAGGCTGGCACTGTGAAAGAACAAAATAACGTGTTTTAGCAGCGGTGACAAAAACAAACCCAAACATAATATTGCCTCTGCTTAGCAACCACCCCCCTTTACTGTCTTTCTCAGGCAGTGTCCCCTACCTGAGTGCATTAGGTTCTATATAAAAGAAAGTTCCAAATTAACCCAAAGCACAGCACTGGTTGGAACTTATGTCAGAAATATTAAGAATAACCCAAAAAACTATCATTGAGATTTTGGTTACCCAAATTAAAGCAACCTATTTTAGCTTTGATCTTCAAAAAGGTTGGTCAGATCCTTAGCTGATTTTTAGCCACAGACCATTATGACCCAATAAGGCCCCGCATCGGCTCCTTGTTATGGGTGGACGTACCTTCGTTGACGCAATTGCAGAAGCCGCACTGGTAACGGCGGCCGCCGTCGATGAACTGCATGTAGGGACACATGTAGGCCTTGCAGCGGTTACAGCGGATTGGGCCGGTCTCACCATGGTTCACGACGTACATAGGAGTCTGGGCCACACAACAGAGGAGATAGTCAGTCTCATAAGACAGCTGTCACACATCTGTTTGTTTTAGAGTCAACTGTAGGCTATAGTCAACTGTACAGATAGATTATTCCTTATTTGGTCGTTTGTGTGAAATATACGGGCTTCAGGTTAACCATGATGATGACCATGCATTCCATTGCCCTCATCTTCACCAGTTTATAGAGTAGCACCAGCTGGCTATACACCAACAGAAGCATCCAGTCATTGACTGTATAATTCATATATCAGTAATCATGACCAGGATGCAAGGTTTCAGTCAAAAATTTAACTTTTATCAAACCCTTAACCCTTGTCCAACAGAGTGGGTAATCTATTTGAATTCAATCACTTTTTGACAGCACCCCTTTTGCTTTGAACGAAACCTTCCATACATATTTGCCCATTGTAGAAATAGTGCTCAGAAAGTAACTTTTTGGACCTGAATGCCAAAACATTTAAGAGATAAAGGTGCTCAAAGTTGACCCATTTTGCATACCCCACCATACCATGAGACATCCATTTCTTCATCACTGGAAAAGATAAACGGTTGAGTTTGATATCATTTAAAAGCTTACAAAACAGTGGTCAAACTGCTTTAATACAAATTGTCATTTTTAAAACCTTTAATGTCAATTATATAAAAGACGCGTGAACTCTGATTTTTTTCTTCATATTCGTATGTTGTAGCTTAGACCCCATTTCACATGATCTGATTTTGTGTTTTGCACGCCATCGGTTGAGACCCAACATGCTCTTAAACACAGTCATTTCAATCATAGAAATATAATTCATAGAATGGACCTATCCATTCAGAGCACTGCAATTTAGCAGGTACACCACTGAAATTGAAATGTAAACTTCTAATTACTACCACAAAGATGACCGTAGGTCCACCCACCATCGAATGTCAACTTACAATTGTCATTTATTTTCTATATTTCTATGTTTTCAAAATGTTTCCTATGGAGGATTGACAGTATAATTTAAAAAAACATTCCCATTCAAGTCAACATTCTCTGATGTGTGGACCTCCAACCATCTCGGTGGTACCATTTGAAAGTTGAAATAGGGAGTTGTAGTTTCCAACAGGCCAATATTCTACATAGTTTAGCGCAGAATACGTGGTAATTAACTACAACGACGATAATCCATTGCGCGCCTACTTGTCCAGTCTGTGTGTTTCTTTTACACCCGCTACGGTAAGTTAGTGTGGAGCAGACACCGAGAGAAGAGACAGAAGAATGCGCGATCGAGAGGGATAGCGAGCACTTGCTTCGTGAGGTATCTCTACCAGAAAATACATGATCTAAGTGATAGATAGTTGGTATTTAGCAGTCATAAAAGTATGCATAATTACTTTGAAAAACGACTAAAACACAAATATTTTTTTCCAGACAGCAAAGGCAGCAGCTCTATAGAGATCACGTTGAATGAAATAATAAAGTAATCTAATTAAAACAAATGTAATTTAAACTTAAATAATGTGAATAAAGTATGGTTAATAAGTGATAAGCAGTAACGGGTAGTCACTACCATCATGGGACTTTTATTAATTGTTTTATTCTGTGTTACAGCATTCAACCCACATAATGCATAGTGCATTTAATGTCTAAAAACATAATCGAAATCTGATTATTTTTAAATAATCGAACCGACCTCAAAAAACACTAATCGCTCAGCACTAACACACACAAACCAACCCATGGGAACATATGGTAAAAATTGCCTCTAAAATGCTCATGTGCACAAAGTCTGTATACTCATACATTTATTAGCAAAAACAAACTGTGCGCACATGTTATATACACACACACACACGTGCGCACCCAGTTCAAATAGCCTTAGTTAGAAGATTTATTTGAGGGCATAAAATCTTAGAGCCAAGCCTCATTCAATGGGTTCAGATAATATATTAGCACCACAGAAGTGATATACTATCCAAAACATTGTAGCCTAACAACCAAAACATTGTCTAAAATATGGTCACTACTAGGCGTAAAGCTAATCTAAATCTATCCTGAGAAACTCCAATTAGACTTTTAACCAGGGGAAGGAACCAGTTCAGGGAACCTTGGTTTCTCCTCTTTCTTGAAGGGAGGCTTTTACATACAACAGTATATAAACAAGTACTACAGTAAGGGTTTCATAGGCGCTCCAAGGCCATAAAACTGCAGACAGACGTCAATGCAGCCAAGTAGTTATAGTATTAGAACAGTTCATCCAAAGAGGACGTGATGTTATTATACATTTGTTTATAATAAGTTCAAGTGCGATACAAGAGTTTAACGTTAAGACTCGAGTGCTTGTGCAGTTAGGTCATTCATTTCAAACAACAATGCTAACGTGCTGATAAAATGCTAGCTCGTTTGATATGGAATCCATGCAGCGCTTTAGCATACGTTAACTTCCTACTATGGGAATTGTGCTAGCACTGTCTGGACACTGAGTGCTAACCTGAGATGGCAATGTGCTTGACATGAGTGCTTTTTTAAACCGCTTTCATCTTCTGTGGTCCCCGCATATCTTGACATTAGCTGATTAGCTCTCTCTATGAGACAGAGAGAAAGCTACATTAACGTTGCCTAAAAAGGCCCTTTGGTGCCGATGACAATGCGAGGGGAAGAATATCTAAGTCAGGTTTCCTGGGACCACACAGGATCCAAATGGAGGTTGTCCACAGGACACTAGAACTTTTACAGCACTTGTACGTAAAGTATATTTTTATAAGGAATAAAAAAAGTATACGAGTCATTGAGCTTCTGAGGAAAACGAAAAGTGCTAGTGTCTCCCTCCCCTAACATTTCTACAGTATGTACCTGACGTTTATGTAGTGTTTGGGTTTAAACATATTGGGTTCAGAATTCATAAGCGGCTTAGTGGTCTGACTTTATAAAACAATGTGGATAATCTCTGCAAACATACAGAGGGCAAGGCCTACCTCATTCTTTGGCACTGTGGCGAAGGGTTTGATTATGGTGGCCAGGGGAACTTGGCACTGCTTGGCCAGGTCAGCCGTGCTGGGGAAAGAGTAGGTGGTGCAACGCATGAACCTTGGACTGGCGTTTCCTAAAGGGGAAGAAGAAATGGAAACAGAAAGTTTCAAAAATATATGTTAATTAGGTTGGTTAGAGAGTAAAGAATGTACTCATATTCAAGAAAATATAAATAGATTTTAAACAGGTTTGCATTTTGTGTTTACACATATAGCCTTCCTCTCACAATATCGTTCAGTTCTTCCCTCATATCTTTAAAGATTCATCAGGTTGTAAATAACTTACTGTCTTTTACATAGTATTTTTACAAAGAAATAGTGTTCAGTGTTCTTATTCATATCTTTTGAGTACAGTATCAAACGTTACTACTTAAATCAATAAACGGGGAGGGACCTACCTGAACTTGTCCAATAAGAAACTCTCATTGTCGTTGCGAAAACATTTAGATAGTTTGCTAAGTTGTGCACTAATGAATACACCCCTATCATGTTCCCCATGTTGCCATTAAAAAAATAATTCAAAAGTGTATGATTGAACTAAGGCTATTACGGTGTTGTCCAAAGCCATCTGTGTCACGTTTTACTAATCCATTCTTTGGGGAACCCCACAACAGCACATTTTTGTTCAATCCAGCACAAACAAACCTGATTCAACTAGTCAAGTAATCACAAAGCCCTTGATTAGTTGAGTCAGGTGTGCTAGTGATGGAATGGAAATGTTAATGGATTTCAGTGTGAATTGCGCCGGAGAAGATGGCTGCCATTTTACAGCCCTCTAACCAATTGTACTATTATGTGTGTTTTTCCGCGTTATTTGTAATTTAGTCTGTACATAATGTTTCTGCCATCGTCTCTTATAACCAAAAATAGCTTCTGGATATCAGGACAGCGATTACTCACCTCGTATTGGACGAATATTTTTCCTTCAACAAGTCGGACGCAAAGGATATCCTACAGACACCCGACAAGGCCCAAATCCCCGTCATTCGCAGGAGAAAGAGATAGAGATATCGTGGACGTAGGTCGGGGTGCCTTGTAAGGATCAGACGGCGAGCGAGTAAACTGCCTCTTCCATCAATCCTATTAGCCAATGTTCAATCATTTGAGAATAAATTAGATGACCTAAGATTACGGTTATCCTACCAACGGGACATTAAAAACTGTAATATCTTATGTTTCACCGAGTCGTGGCTGAACGACGACATGGACAACATCCAGCTAAGCGGGCTATACGCTACATCGGCAGGATAGAACGGCTGACTCCGGTAAGACAAGGGGTGGCGGTCTGTGTATATTTGTAAACAACAGCTGGTGCACAAAATCAAATACTAAGGAAGTCTCAAGGTTTTGCTCGCCTGAGGTAGAGTATCTTATGATAAGCTGTAGACCACACTATTTACCAATAGAGTTTTCATCTATATTTTTCATAGCTGTCTATTTACCACCACAAACCAATGCTGGCATTAAGTTTGCACTGAATGAGCTGTATAAGGCCATAAGTGAACAGGAAAACGCTCATCCAGAGGCAGCACTCCTAGTGGCCGGGGACTTTAATGCTTAAATCCGTTCTACCTAATTTCTACCAGCATGTTAAATGTGCAACCAGAGGAAAAAAAAAAAACTCTAGACCACCTTTACTCCACACACAGAGACGCATACAAAGCTCTCCCTCGCCCTCCATTTGGCAAATCTGACCATAACTCTATCCTCCTGATTCCTGCTTATAAGCAAAAACTAAAGCAGGAAGCACCGATGACACAGTTAATAAAAAAAAGTGGTCAAATGACGCAGATGCTAATCTACAGGACTGTTTTGCTAGCACAGACTGGAACATGTTCCGGGATTCTTCAGATAGCATTGAAGAGTACACCACATCAGTCACTGGCTTCATCAATAAGTGCATCGATGACGTCGTCCCCACAGTGACCGTACGTACATACCCCAACCAGAAGCCATGGATTACAGGCAACATCCGCACTGAGCTAAAGGGTAGAGCTGCCGCTTTCAAGGAGCGGGACTCTAACCCGGACGCTTATAAGAAATCCCGCTATGCCCTCCGACGAACCATCAAATAGGCAAAGAGTCAATAAAGAACTAAGATTGAATCGTACTACACCGGCTCTGACGCTCGTCGGATGTGGCAGGGCTTGAAAACTATTACAGACTACAAAGGGAAGCACAGCCGCGAGCTGCCCAGTGACACAAGACTTCCAGACGAGCTAAACCACTTCTATGCTCGTGTCAAGGCAAGCAACACTGAAGCATGCATGAGAGCACCAGCTGTTCCGGATGACTATGTGATCACGCTCTCCGTAGCCAATGTGAGTAAGACTTTTAAGCAGGTCAACATTCACATGGCCGCAGGGCCAGATGGATTACCAGGACGTGTACTCAGAGCATGTGCTGACCAACTGGCAAGTGTCTTCACTGATATTTTCAACATGTCCCTGAGTCTGTAATACCAACATGTTTCAAGCAGACCACCATAGTCCCCGTGCCCAAAGACACTAAGATAACCTGCCTAAATGACTACCGACCCGTAGCACTCACGTCTGTAGCCATGAAGTGATTTGAAAGGCTGGTAATGGCTCACATCAACACCATTATCCCAGAAACCCTAGAGCCACTCCAATTTGCATACCGCCCCAATAGATCCACAGATGATGCAATCAACTATTGCGCTCCACACTGCCCTTTCCCACCTGGACAAGAGGAACACCTACGTGAGAATGCTATTCATTGACTACAGCTCAGCATTCAACACCATAGTGCCCTCAAAGCTCATCACTAAGCTAAGGATCCTGGGACTAAACACCTTCCTCTGCAACTGGATCCTGGACTTCCTGACGGGCCACCCCCAGGTGGTAAAGGTAGGTAACAACATCTGCCACACTGATCCTCTACACGGGGGCCCCTCAGGGGTGCGTGCTCAGACCCATCCTGTACTCCCTGTTCACCCATGACTGCATGGCCAGGCACGACTCCAACACCATCATTAAGTTTGCCGACGACACAACAGTGGTAGGCCCGATCACCTACTGTTATTTTATTTTACTTTTTTTCCTCAACACTTTTGTTGTTGTTTTATATATTACTTTTTTACTAAAAAATAAATGCATTGTTGGTTAAGGGCTGTAAGTAAGCATTTCACTGTAATGTCTACACCTGTTGTATTTGGCGCATGTGGCCAATAAAATTTGATTTGAAGTGTGTTGAAGTAAGGCTAAATACAGATATTGACAGGTTTGTGTTTGCAGTACTGTACACTGGTATTCCTGTGCCTTACCTTGGTCCTGTACTGTATAGTCAGTGGTGACCAGCGGGGGCACCTGGCCCCTGACGTTCGTAGTGTACACCTGTCCCCCTCGTTTGGCTTGGTCGTCTTCGATGACTTGTGTCTAAACCAGAGAGGTGCATTGTCAGTAAAGCTTATACTGTGGTGAGCCATTTCCTTGACAAGCAGTCAGGCTGGGTGAAAGATTTCAATCAGTTCCGCTCTGTCTGTTTTTGCTGGCTGTGTGTGTTAAAGGACACAGATTGGTATGGTATAAATTCACATGCTGCTGTTGCTTTTTTGCCGTTTGCCTGACAACAATCCACACTGTATATAGATTTTCTATTGTGTTATTGACTGTACGTTGTGTTTATCCCATATGTAACTCTGTGTTGTTGTTGTTTTTAAATCGCACTGCTTTACTTTATCTTGGCCAGGTCGCAGTTGTAAATGAGAACTTGTTCTCAACTGGCTTACCTGGTTAAATAAAGGTGAAATAAATAAATAAATAAACAGGGTTGACTTCGTCATTTGTAAGTCATATATACTGTATGTGAAGTAGCCAAATCAAGTCACAGGATAATTAAATATGAACTCACTGTGCTAGGGATGGAGTCAGGATCCAGCTTTTTCTGAGGTGGCCCGGCCATTTGGGCTGCCCCACCTTGGAAGGGTCCCGCCATCCCAGGTCCCGCCATCCCAGGTCCCGCCATCCCAGGTCCCGCCATCCCAGGTCCCGCCATCTGCCCCCCTAATTGACCTGTGACACACAAACAATTCCACAGTGTCAGGCTCTGGTGACCTGCACCTGGTGCAATCCTATTGGCAAGAACACAATTAGCGGTACAGTCCTCCAAAAGCAATTTGTGCACATTCCTGGCCACATTCAATACAATAAGCTTGAGTTCTACAGTGAGTTACCATATCCAAGGACCCAGATTAATCCTATCCCTGAACTGAAAACCTATTTTCATTCCAGGAATAGGCTTAATCTGGCTCCAGGAAACTGGCCCTACAAATCCATAAAGCTTTGAAATGGCCACTGTTGAGCTCCAGGTTACTGTGCTATCTGTACCTTGTAGTTGCTGAGGGTATCCTGGTGGTCCGGCTGCTCCAGGCCCAGGCTGCTGGAATCCCCCAGCACCTGGAGGGGGTGGGCCAGGGAAGGGCCTACCCATGCCTCCCATGGGTGGGGGGCCACCCATAGATGGGGGCCCTCCCATAGGTGGACCAGCTAGGGGCGACTGTGGGGGAGCCATCTGAGACGAGTGAGGACCCGTAGGTGGGGGGCCCAGTGGTGGGTGTCCCATGGCTGGGGGAGGGGTGGTCTGGAATGGCTGCTGGATTAAGGGGGAGGTGGGGGGCGCCTGATGGCTCTGCATGGGGCCTGGACCTGCAGGAAAAGCAAGGGAAGGGTGAACAACTTTCAACACACTGAAGCCTTAACAATAACATACTGCATGCTAGTGTACCTAAGTTGTGGTGCCTCTGTTGACAACGCCATAAATATATAGACTAACACTAGTAAGAAGAGTAGATCTACCTAAAAGCTTCCATTTTACTGTTTGGGCATCAAGGCAGTTTACTTATTAACTTGTTTGGGAGTTGGTTTGCATCTTGTATACCAGCTAAATGGGATGCCCTAACCATCCTTAAAACAACAGTCTTGAGTTCAGTGATTAATTACCATATCCAAGGTTCATGGCACCCATCTGATTGGTGAGCTGCTGTGCTGGGGGCGGGCCCTGGTGGGCCGTGCTGTGGTAGGGGGACTGAGGCGGCTGTCCGTATGGAGGGGCAGGGTAGCTGGAGGAAAGTAAACAAAGAGCTAAATATTTAGTCTGTTCCAATAGTATCAATTAGCTTCATTGCCTTGCTTATTTTCCTTAATCACCACTGATTTGAAAGTACAGAGGAAAACCAACTCAGTCCTTTCACCTATTAGTCATGAAGAAAATGGAAGAGGAATGCACTAAGAGTATTGGGATGCAGATGGTTGCCTTCCAATTCTTTACCCTTTTACCTGAAGTGTGCACTTTCTCCCTCCCACTCATGGGTTTGAAAGCAATTAATTGGTGTTAACATTGGCTAGAGGGCGTTTATAGCACATGTACTGCACCAGTCCTTTCCCTTTAAATTAAATCAAATTCCATGAGGGGGACAGATCAAGTGCATACTTCAGGGAGAAGGGTAGAATTGGACCATAACAATGTTACTGTAGTAAATGGACTCGGTGGAGGAGGCTCTGTTACCTTTGAGGGTGCGCGCCGTTCTGCTGGCCGTTTGAACCGTAATGGCTGGGGACCTGTGTTGGAGGCATGCCGGAGGGGGACGACACAGGCTTCATCATCCCTGGAAGGTAAAGCACTCTCTTATGGTAACACATTATATACAAAGCATGCACCTGAGCAAAACATCTAATCTAAATGCTATGGCAATAGCATGTCCGTCCACAAAGCATCCTCTTACGGTCACACATTACATACAGAGTACAGTACAAACATGGGCAAACCTAAATAATGACACAATAGCATGGCCGTACAGAAAAAAAAAACATATCCCTAGGCTTAAATGTGGTAATTTCAATTGAAGCTGCATCGCTTGACTCGTTCATGAACAATTGCTACTGTACACTTCCAAACTGACAAGATCAGACCTGTTAAATGATCAACTAAACAGAAGACTTCACAGGAGGAATGGAAGACCAAAGGCACGTGGCTTTACCTGTTGGTGGGGCGGGGAATGATTGAGGTGGTCCCCCATAGTGTCTATAGAGGGGCTGGGCAGGCGCGCTCCCAAACCCGGCTGGGTAGCCCCCCATCCCAGGCTGGGCCTGGGAGTAGGGAGGTGTGGCAACATAACCCTGCTGACTCATCCTATGTGCCGTTATGGTCTTCTCATTACAAAATGGAGGAGATCCAACAACCTGCAAAGATGGAAGCACCGAGTAAAGAATTTTGCTTTCTGATGAGGCAGATAATTTAAGGAAATGTCTATTGTTCTAGCATTCTCTAGTAGTCTTGACGGGCCCAAAAAGTTGTTTGAATTTAATAATGAGATTACAAAAACTCTAATTCACAGAATTTCACAAACCAAGCTACAACTGTCACTTTGCACCTGGGAAGATTTTTCATAGACTGCACACTTAATATGCTTTGTGGTCGTCACTACTTTTCTCACACCTAACATCAGTATTTTCCTCCAGTACAAAGTAAATAAGTGTCTCTATGTTACGCGCTGTAAATAATCTCACAGGTCTCCCGAGTGGCGCAGTGGTCTAAGGCACTGCATCGCAGTGCTAGCTGTGCCACTAGAGATCCTGGTTCGAATCCAGGCTCTGTCGTAGCCGGCCGCGACCGGGAGACCCATGGGGCGGCGTGCAATTGGCCCAGCGTCGTCCAGGGTAGGGGAGGGAATGGCCGGCAGGGATGTAGCTCAGTTGATAGAGTTGTGGGTTCGATTCCCACAGGGGGTATGAAAAAATAATAATGTATGCACTAACTGTAAGTCGCTCTGGATAAGAGCGTCTGCTAAATGACTAAAATGTAAATGTAAATGTATTCTCCACCAGGCAACACCAACAAGCAATATTTGACCTCAAGACAACGTCAACGCTCACGTGTAACAAGACCCAAGAACATTGGACTATTGGGAGATAAGAGAGTTCCATCTTTGATAACATTGGCTAATCTACAAGTGACTCAATTTATACTGTTGTTGCCAGTCAGTTTCCTGCAACAATGGTCCTAAAATAAGAATGATTATTCTCTCAAGATTAATATATGCGATAACATTTGAGAACACAATGTAATTATACTCTTATATTATTACTATATATAATATCATGTCTTACAACTGTTGGTTGGTGATAGCCTGTGTAATGGTTGCTTAATGACATTTTGGAGCAGAAATTGTAGGTAGATACAGTATCTCTTAATTGCGGTTCAAATTATTGAATTACTGATTTAGGCCTAGCTTCACAAGCTCATGTGCAGTGTTGGTGAAATAATTATTGAGCAATAGGCTTCTCAGTAAGTCCAATGGTTATAAATAAATACATAGGCCTAAATAAGTTAGTCACCTTCTGCAAAATAGGCAAATAATAATAATGAAAAAACGAATTATTGGTCTCCCTTGTAAGCTATTTTTTGTCCTTAAATCTCTCGGTAAGGCTGCATTTTTTTCAGTTTTAGAACAACCTGATCTTGACTTTCTGGACTTGCACAAGTCTATACAACAGCTGTCAAATATTGCTCAATTAAGGCCACAAACAGCTGCCTCGTATTGCGACTCATATCAAATGCAAAAGTGCTTAAAATTGGAGAGAAAAAAAATCCATAGATGAAGACAGAAATATCAAAAGAAACAGTCATGGGTAAAAACGTAGCCTACTATACGACGAGTAGTTCAGCCACTACCCAGAATTGCCACGTCAAAGACCGTTATAATGGTTTAAAAGCTGAGCTTCACCAACCTAGCTAGGACCTAGGCTAGGTAGCCTAGCTACCATTCAGTTACAACCAGACAGACATCAATATTTATCAACTGCGTGAAAATATATAGGTTGTTTACGCCACCCGAAACAATATCCATCTATCCAACACAACAATTGCGTTTCGGGTGTGCGCGGTGTATTTACAAATAAATACGATGTGTCGTTCATACACGGAAATTGCTAACGCGTTAGCTAACAGTACATAGCTAGCTATGAAAGCATTTGGGTATAAAATGCATTTTAATTGGCCTACATCAGACAGTGAAATACTCTCTTATAAAACGTATTAGGCTTTTCTGTAAAATTGTATTATTTACCTGTATTCTGGGGAGTACCTGCCGAGGCTCTTTTCTATGAATTCCTGATAGTCAAAGTAGAGTGCCACGTCAAACTCCAACACAGCACCGGTCCCTATGTTACGCGCTGTAAATCTCACAGTGGTAAGTGCGCATGAACCAACCTGTGGGAAACCCTACACGTCAGCATAGACAAATATTATTGCGCCGATTGCATAGCATAAAACACTCTCAAGGCTTAGAAAATTGTGCATTTCTGATCTGTCAGCCAGGCCATCAACTGCTCATAATGTAAACTAGGCAGTAGGCCTATCTAAACTTAATTTCGTTCTCCATTCAATAGGCAGTAACAATTTGAATAGATCCACTATCAGGTGATCTAAAAACGTGATCTAAAAAGGCTTATCAACAATGTCTATGTAATTGAGACCAGGCCAATTAGCTCATAACAATTAAAGTCCCAACAGGCTAGTTCTACCAACTCCAGATTTTGTGCAGATTATTTCTGATGTGAAAACATGAAGTGTCTCAATAGACAATCACCACTTGAATTCAATGGTTTGCATCTCTGCATATTTGTAGGTGACATGTGACTGTATTGTGTTTATACACTTACTAGTGTTTGTGTAGGCCTGTGCACAAGACAAGTTCCCTATCAGTACAATGTTCCTATTATTTTCTATTGCCACTAACATCTCTCTATTATAGGCTATTATATTGTCTTTTATTCTATTGTATAGGTAGGCAATTGCCAAACGCAAAACAGTACACTCAATATCCTGGGTACCTCACATGCTCAAACTCGAGAAAATTTACCGCGGGCCACCACTTACTGAGAACGTCATCAGATAACCCATTCATAGACCCGAACTACATTTAGCGCCTATTGACAATAGTAGGCCTATCTTCTGCCTGTTGTTAAGAGCCCCAACTCTCAGCGATAAATACTTTTCAAAAAACAAAAGGTTAAATTACTACACATAGGGTTAAGCCACATTTCCATGTTACAGGGCTTGTTTACTGAAAATAGACTGAAGACAGAGGTAGCACCTGGCTAATTAGCTATATCTTCGTCTCCAAACACCTGTGTGTAGATAGAGTATTGGCTGCCAGAGCCAATTCGCCTCTAAACAAGAGCATGTAAGGTCCTTGGACTATAAGGAGCAAAGTTCGGCTCCAATAGTCCATTATTTGTCTAGTCATCAGATATTCTTTTTACATTTACAATGCAATTAATCAACACATTTATAGGGATAAACAATAATAATAAGGCCCATTATTATTGTAGCTACACTGTATAAGAAGTTAAGTTTCGGTGGCCCCATACAAATGCAGCTATAAAACATTCCCAAGAGCTCACCACTTGATGAGCAGGCGGGGCAATGTGCAATGACGTTTCAGAGCGGGCTGGACTCGGGATAACTTGCAGATGATGGGAATTATACTGCACTGTGTTGCTCTTGGTTTCCTAGAGCCCTGTTGGTCGAACTCCGGACAATTTGATGATAGCGGTTTTGGTGGGCGCCTGTTGCGTGTGGCATGGGCACTGGGGATTGTATCTGTGTAACTGTGCGCGGAGGCGCGCCCTGGGGCTTCAGTCTCTGCGAAGGAGAGGGGGATGCCTATCGACCTTTGCAGGTTTATCAGGTAGAAACATAATTAGTTTGAAATATGTTTTTGTTAATTGTTAATGCTTTTGGAGTTGGAATGTTTTAACATAGGCCAACGGAGACTTCATCAAGATTATGCTCTGTCGCATTGCAGGTTTGTTTTGTCTCGCTTTTATTTCTGGAATCTTTCTGTTGAACCATGTAAAACGTGCATTTACATGTCATACAGTGTGGCTTTAGGAACATGTTTATGTCAAACATTGTTTGTTTGAAACTCCATTTTCAAAAGAGGATGTCATCTATTATCTTATCATTCTGAACTTGGCTGTAGGCCTATGTTAGTGCATCCAGACAATGTAAGTTAGTAATTCTAACGGTGCTTTTCCCAATAGCATACATTTCTTGGTGAGCATTTGTGGCCAACAAGTTTTTTTCTCTCCTCATGTTTAGGAACAGTGGCCACTTGGAAGTGAGTTAACTAGCTAAGCTGAAATGTAGGTTATTTGCTGGGAAGATGTTGAGACAGGGATCCTAATGATGTTGCTCTTTAGGGTTGACGTTGTAGCCTACATTTCATATGGTAAATGAATTGTTTTGAAAAGGCTTGATTTGGGCAAATGTTTTGAGTATAGAGAGCGTTTGTTTGAGACAGGCAGAATTCCCCTTTTTCTGGTGTGTCGGATATGTTTTTCTTGTATGCCTATGATTTCTGGGAACCCTTATATGGTCAGTGCTCGAGGACTGTGGAGTGCAGAGCGATCTATCAGTTATCGCTAATGAAGATTTCAGCAAGAATCTAAACATGCTTGAGCTCTCGCGTTCCTTCAGGGGTCACGGAGTGATAATAACCTAAACAAAGAGGGAAAGATGGAAAGCTGTTGGATGGGAACTTTTATTTAGATAAGTCTCAATCGAAAATGGTAGATTTGTTAAATCTTGTTTAATTGAAGAAGATGATCATTGAAGCCTATAGGCCTAATTGCGAAGCCAACCACTTGTTGATTCATACAGAAGGCCTATCCCATGCAGTCCTAATTTGTAGCCTATTACTTGCTACATGTTAGTAATTGTATCCAGCTGAAATAATGGTGCCTTTCCAAATGGCATAACTTTCTTGGTGAGCATTTGTGGCCAACAACTTTTATTCTCCTCGTGTTTAGGAACAGTGGCCACTTGGCTACACATTACTATGTAGGTACAGTGCACGACTGTATTAGATAATGGACAGTAAACCCATGCTGACAGAGAGACTGTTACCAAAAGGCAATCCTCTCCTTCATTGGCCACACATAGAGCTACCTGGGAAGCATCGCATAGTGATAAACTGATCCTTAAAGCGCATGGGTGCTTTATGTAGCAATGCCATCCAAAGACAGCTGATGGATCAGTGTGACTAGGCTATGTCAAGTGCATTGTAAAGGAAGTCAAAATGATTATGCTTGTGAATGATGGTGTAGATTGGTACCCCATCGACCACAGCCAGCCCCCCAGCAAGGGGTCAAGGTGTAGCTTAGAGGGGGTCTAG